GATGACAGACACAGAGAAAGGGAGACACACAGACAGAGAGGGAGAGACGAGGATAAGCTGTAAGTTTATAGTATATAATCTTGTAAAGACCTTACATGTTCCAAGCAACCGAAAAAGGAAGAAAAGCACAGGCACGGCGGCTTTGCAACTAGCCTTTCAGTCTATAAAAAAGCTTATCCTACAGATTTCAAGCAGTAAGTCTTTAGATTAAGCTTCAGAAACAGACTCCATTTATAGCTAGCAATACCCCCCCAGATTTTCCTTTAGAAACTCAACTCATTCCTTACCTTGGGGGAGCAATACATTTCAAGGTTAATTTTTCTTACTCTGGTCAATACAGACTTTTTCCCCTCCAATTTAACTGAAGCACAGTTGCTAATTAAACAAATCATTCTGGAACTCCTGGAAAATACAACAGCGTTAACAGGAATGCGAAAGGGGATGGGAAGAGGACAGCACTGTTTGTGTCAGGAAAGATGGTGGTAGAGAAGTTGTTAACTGGTCCTCAGCCACCGATCTAGACAGAATCTTACAGGAGTAAGATGTCCGCTTATGGTTTTAACCAGGCACAACTAAGTATTCTTTCTTCTGTAGGACCCCACTCACGTTCATATTGAAGCACAGTTACTTCTGAAGTAGAGGGCACTCTGCAGGCAGACAATTTGAATACATCTACAACTATGGGCAGAAAAGTGGTTTTGGAAGATCTGTCTCACAAAAAGCATCATCAACTCTTTAGTCCGTTCCTTAATATGCAACTTGAATATGCATGAGAAGACAGAGGTGAATATTCTTTTGTAGTATCTGACCTGTGTAAAAACTATAGTGTATCCCGGACTTTCAGTAATATGCTACGACGTTACCTAACAGGTTGAGACGAAAACCTTTTCCTGGCATAGACTGATGCAGAAAGCAAAGAGGACCTTAACTTACAAAGTCATTTAAAGATCCACAGTGAAATTCAGAGAGCTCAATTTAACATCATAAGGGAATCCACTCCTTAAGTTTCCAACACTATCGTAGTGTGTGGTTCAAGTATTTGCATCAAGGTGTTACAAACACCTAAATAAGACGACACCTCCATTCTACAAGGCACTGAACTTTTGCATACAGGGAGAAAAACCTGTCCTCAATCCTCACCAAAAACTCCTGCCATTATCTGTCATGGAACCGAAAGAGATGAAAAAGGTCAGTGCTGGGTTCTTTGGAATCAGTGGCAGCCCCATCTTTAAAGGGACTGACTCCACTGGATAAACAGTATTGTCAGCTCGGGTCATGTTTACATGTTTAGCAGGAGAACACATGAGCATCTGGTACATGACTGTGGGCATGTCACACAAAAATTATGTAAACACTGCAGTCAGTATTTATAGATTTCTGCCTTCTGTGGAAAATGCCATTTCTAGGAGCACACCGGAACCATCATAATAGGACAAAGTTTGCTCTCAGCTAAGGTATGGTCTTTCAAAAGCGCGTTCTCGCGATAGAAAGCAAAATCATGGCAGCACCGTGAAAACAGGCTTACTGTGCTTTGATAAGAGAAAAGCACTGCAGATGTACAAGCTGCACCCTTAGCAGAAAAAAAAAAGAAAAAGAAAAAAAGGGAGAGTTCAACTCATAAGGTGCCTTAAGATGTCTGAAAGAAAACCTTTCTCAAAGGAACTAAAGGTTGCAAAGAATGGCAAAAAGCAGTAAATTACAGTTTGGTTTCTTTTTCAAAATAATTCTTTAAATTTAGTCTCTGTACTTAACATTATGTAAAACTCGAACAATCCATTTTGCTACTGACACAGGCTGTATATTCCAATGGTCCCTTCCAATTTCAAGAGGTGCTTTAACACAACTAGCATACACACATTTTAATGTTATACCTCCAGAGCTCTAGGTCCTGGTGCTTCAGCACAGTTGGTAGAGCGCCTAGAACCAGATCTCTGGCATTCCATGCTGTTACATGAGCATAAAAAATAAATAAGCCAGGACGAAAGACTCACGCACTGCTTAATGAGAAGCTATGCTTTTGGTTAGGAATCCACAAGCCACATTTTTGTAAATAAACAATGAAACCACCATCTTCATATAAATAAGCCAAAAACTTGCAGAGCTTGAGAAACCTCTCATAGCAGATATTTTTCAGTTTCCTTCTCTGTCTTCACGTTCACTGACAACTATTATTCCCACATTGAGTTATTTAAAATGGGAGCTATGAATGTAAACACTGTGTGCTTCCACAGTTTTTAACATAGATAAATCATGTCTCAGAGTGGACAGCAGCTCCTTGTTCAGTCACGTTATGTCATACAATATTAAAATTCTCTGAGGACAATGAGGAAACTGAAATGTTGCTGCCCTCATTGTTCCTGGAGCGTCTGTACAGCATGATCTCCAGTACACTGTAGTATAATTTAGGCTGGAAGGGATCCATGGAGGTCATCTGGTCCAACACAGCACTCATAGTAGGGCCAACTTTGAAGCTGGATCAGGTTGCTCAGGGTCATTTGAGTTCCCAATATGTTCAAGGATGAAGATGTCACAGTCCCTGTGCAAACTGTTTGATCAATCTCATTAAAAAAAGGAAGTCTACTATCTATTCTATTTCCTCTTGCTGCAAACTGTAATCTGCAAAAAATCATTAATCTCCAAAACAAAATGTATAAATAAGACTAATACATATTACAAATATGGGAAATAAAGATATATTGTCTGTAAATTTACTCAGTCTTTAGAACAAAGTATCTAATCAGTCCAGAAGGACAACGGACTACAAGCGCCAAAACCCCACTTCTTGATACAATATTAGTCATGTAAACTCTATTTCCATTTGTGGTCAGCAGCAGCAAAGTTGTCTGCCATGCAGATAGCCTTAATACACAAACGGTGCAACTCAAGTGTAGTATGACTGAAAACGGAACCCAAGAAGCTCAGTAACTATATGGCAAATCTATTTAGCAGACATGATTAGAGAGTAAAAATTCTAAGATGATATTTCTTAAAGGACTCATTTTTAATTTCAGCCTCAAGTAAGATTTCTAAAATATACAAAAAACATTGTCTACTGCAACAGTAAATATCGTAATTTGAGGGAAGTAGCCTGTTGCTTATGCATATACATTTACCCAGTCTCTAAACACAAAATTGTGTCTAACACCAACTGCATAACTGAGCTTGCCTCTGTAACACATTCAGCAAATGTGTATCTATAACCTATGCCAAAAGGCTTAAAATTTATCTTGCCTACTTTCAGCAGTCTAAACCTTAACCTAGATTTGTTTTCTAAACTCTTTACTGTCAATAGAGATGGGGTAGAGTGACCTCATATATCTAAGGATGAAGTTCCACAAGAGTTCATCTCTCTCCACTGATTATCTAACTTAGACTAGGTACCTAACAATTAGACTGCCTACCTTCACCTCATCTATTTGGAATATATAGATTGCTGCATCTTTACAGGGGAGAACTAGACAAAAAGAACAGGGTGAGAAAATGTACACAAGCGCCAAATTATTATAAAGTGATCAGCTTCTTAACCAATTCATTTTTTAAAAATCCTGTAACAAATACTTTTTTTTAAAAAACAAAGCACTAATCATGGCTTCAAGAATAAGTGAAAACATGTACAGTAAGTTCAAGTATTTAACAGATTACCAGACCAACACACATAGAAAAAGCATAATTTAATTATCATAACTTTGCAGTAAGCATTAACAATGAAATTTTTAACTGTCACAAGTCTTTACGAATATCTAAAAGCCTAATACAAATATCCAATTTATTAGTAAAGTTTAGTCATTTAAAGTGTTACCAGTAAGACGTTCAGTAACTCTGCATTAAATGCTAACAAGCCCTTTCTAGAAGAACATTAATTTACAGTCATTCTTTCTAATGATTCTTTGTACAGTAAAAAAAATTAGATTTGTGTTTTTCTGTTTCCCTTTCCCACCCAACCACCCACATAGTTTTGCTCTCAGACAGAGCTACTAGCCGACCAAACCTGATGGTAAAAATCCTCTCAGCCAAGGGTCCAAGATAGAATCATAAAACATTTTGGGTTGGGAGGGACCTTTAGGGCTCGTCTAGTCCAACCCCCCTGCAGTGAGCAAGATCTCAGTTTTAGCATCCAGCTCAAATGCTCTTTGGGAATAAAATCCATGTTTTTGTATAATGTGCAAAGTGCAAGTTTTCTCCAGTGCTATGAGAAGTGTATGCTGCTAAGAACATCACCACATAATCAAACAGTAACAATTAAGACTTTTCAATTTCCAATAGCTCTGTTATGGACAAATGTTAGATGATGTTTACAGGAATGGCAGATCAAGTGGATTCTATAGCACTGCTTATTAGGTCAGGTACTTTCTGATTTCATTAGGCCAAACCAATGTTTTTACTCAAGTTCTTCAGTTTCCTCCGTAAAAAGGTCAGCCAAATCTGCCACTGTCAGAACTGAGGCTTCTGACTGTTTCATGGAAGAGCTCGTGTGGCTGTGGGGAAAAAATTGTATGTAGACATCAGAGAAGGAACCAACTTAAGTAACAAGCTGTATGCACTGAAGACAGACCATGTGGTTCAGAGTCCAATAGCCATTCAGCTTTGAAGCCCAGCAGGAAAACACACTTTCTATCAGGGAAAATACATACATTGATCAGCTACTTCTCTTGCACATTTTGAGTAAGATATAAAGCCCATCTACTGTCCCTAACAGTGGTCAACACCAAACACTGCAGAGGCAGCAGAACAGGGGATACTCTGCTTTGCTCTCTTACCATTTAAGGGATTGGCTTCAGCTTCCAAGCATAAGGTTTGATATTACTTTCAAAACATTAGCCCTCACTGGATCATTCAACCACTGTATATTTATCTGAATTCTACATGCAAAAGTAGTGCTACTTTACAGCTACGGAAACTGATTAAATCATTCTCCCAAAGCTAAAGCTGAAATCTTCAATAACTACAGCTAAAGAGATGCATGTAAAATTTTTAGTCTCATAATTTATAAGAGCCAAAAAAAATTTTCTTGAACTAAGGCTTCCTCCTAGATTTGCTATGTGTATACAATATAGTTAAAGAGGTACAAACGTCTTATGCTTTCTGCATAAAGAATGTAAATACCACTTTTGTTCCACTTGTGGTCCATCATTGCTTACAGATTTTGAAAACACACACAGTGAAAACTGCTGTCTGTGTCCGCACACCAGACTGACTTACGAGCTAGCATCGGGACAACTCTTGCACTGATGGCAAAACCAACCAGTGTGACGCAGAACTGATAGGCTAGGTTTATAGAATTTAAAAATAATGAAAGAAAGAATTAATGTCCTATATTAGAGCTTATATACTGTTAGTCCAGTGGCAGGCTTAGTATTACTCTATTAATTGCAAAGCTTTCGTACTAATGGAAATAGGTAAACTGAAAAGATAAATTGTAATACATCATTTATGAATCAATTGGGCTTTTATGAAATACAATATACAAAATGTAAACAAAATATTCTCCAGAGAATTAAAATACCTTAAGCTTCAAGCTACTGGATTGAGGTTTAAAAATCAATTTTTCAAGTCTTAAAAATTTTTTGTCAATCAAAACAATCTGAAGAACGGCTGAAGTTTATATGCAAGATATGCATACCCAACTGTAACAGAAGTATGGCTGAGAACCACCTTTTCATTTGCAGTGCAATAATGATGTTTTTAAAAAAATTAACACATACCTTCTATCTACAGTTTTCAGCATAGTTTGCATTCTCTCTTCTATTGTTGCTTTTATCAGGAACCTATGAACAATGGTAGATCTGAATGTGTCAAAAAAAAGAAAACAAGAAGTCAGCAGAAGTTATGCTGTTACTGTCAAAGTTCAAGACCACATTTTTGTCTCCTACTAATTATAAAAATGCTGAAAAAATGCATCTGTATTTTAATAAAGAAACCTTACAAAGTGATTAACAACTTCCACTGACATTTACATGCTTAGTGACTCCCAGAGCACATACTTCTACTTGGCTGGATCACATGCTAAATAAATATAAGCTGTATTAACGAAAATCCTAAAGCAGATGCTGGGCAAAGTTCTGCTTTCTGTGACCCTACTATAAGCAAACAGTCCTCAAGAGCCTAGCCTGTCATTTAAAGAAATGACTTTGGCCCACTGGTTATATACAATGTTTATACTGCATTGTCACAAGTCAGTCCAAGAGACAGAGCTCAGTGTGATGGATAATTACAGCTCATTCCCAGAGTTTTAACAATATTGTCCTTGAAGATGGCAAAACACTATACTTTTTTTTTTAAGTCAGTAATTGTAGTCAGTAAACATGAAATTACAAACACCGGTAAAACACACAACAAAATGAGAATTCCATTTACTAAACAAAACTTCAAGAAGAAAACTGTAATAAAAAAAAAGAAAAGTCAGGCACAAGAAAGTGAAATGGAGAAGAGTCAGCTCCAAAATAAAAATGAAAAAAAAAAAAAAAAATCACTCCAGGCTCCCCAGTATAAACGTTTTTCAATATATGAACCCTTGAAAGTGCTTGGATGGTTTTCAGATCTTAAGTTGAAACTTTGGCAGGTAACATTATACAGGAATGTTGGGGGAATTCATTTGTGATTGACAGGCAAAGGGCTACTCAAAAAAAAAAAAAAAAGAGAAGTAAATAAGAACAACTGAACTGGTGGTAATAGCTGTACCAGTGAAACCAAACACTATTCCTGTATTCGAGTATTATGCTCGCTGTACTTGAACACAGCCCTTTTTCAAATAAGCCTTGCTGAAGTCTTATACTTAAGAGGTAGAGCACACATTCTTGCTGGTTTTATTGCAAGGTTTTCGCCAGACCTTCTGTGCCAGGATCATGTAAAATTATAAAGCAGGCTGTTCCAACCAATCTTTCCTATGCCCTCACAGCTAATTCAAAATCTTTGCCAACATACCCAAATATCCACCTGTTCGTAAACATTCTTTCACATAATGCTCATTCATGCCCCCTCGCTTTGCCTCCGTTTCCAGAACACAAACCCCACTATTATTCTGGAATATTATTATTCCAGAATTGATTCCAGCTACTTTTCTTCATGTACAGGGTTTTTAAAATTTTTTTTTTGGTTTTTTTCAAGTAACATGAAACCTATCGAAAAACATACACGTTTTATCTGTTCAAGACACTTTCTAAAACCTTTGTTAAGTGTTTAGTACTATCAATGTAAAAATCTACAACACTGAAACAAACACAAAAGATATGCAAACTCATCAACGTCTTTAAAAATAGATCTTTTTAGACAGGGGTAAGGGCAGAGCTGTGATTTAAAAAACTAATCTGTTCTAAAAAGTGTGTGCTACAACTTCCTTTTTGGAGAAAAAAAAACCCTAATGCCAAAAAAACCCCAAAACACCCCAAGTCCCCTCCTCCAAAAAAAAAAAACCCCCAAGCCCCCCACAACTTATGCAGCTCCTAATCTGGACCTAGGAATGACCAGCTAGAAGAAGCCTCTCAAGGAAACTAGGAAAGGCCATGCTTGATCTTAGCCACATATGACATAAATGGCAAGTTGCTCAGACCTGCAAAACTAAGACATTTCTGGACGTACTTACAAATAGAACTTCAAAGTTAAAAACTAAGGCATCAATGGCACACATAAAATAGGGCAGCAGCTGAACAAGATTTTTCAGGATTTCCAACTCAAGAGCCTACACTCTTCCTAAATGCCTAAATGCAATTTGCTGCTGCATCTTAGCCCCGTAGTACAAAAGAACTCCCTAAAATACACACTGTGTATTTTCAGCAAACTTTTTTATTTTAATCTTTCTGTCTCTTATATGATCATCTTTAAAAATAGGATTCCTACGAATACCCTCATCTCCAAAATGGAGAAGTTCAGCTAACTAGATTTATTCTGATTACAGTATGCAGTTATATTCTGGACCGTATCTAAACCACTCAGAGCAATTTTAACTCTTACTTTGTTTGGCCAATGCGATGTACTCTTCCAATAGCCTGTAGCTCATGCGCAGGATTCAGAATGGGTTCCACAAGCAGAACATGAGTTGCTTCAATGATGTTTAGTCCATTGGAACCAGTGTGAAGAGGCAGCAGCAAAATATTGATGTTGGGATCATATTTAAATGCAGAGAGATTTTCCTAAAAGGCAAACACAAAATCATAGAATAATTTAGGTTGAAAGAGACCTTTAAGATCATCACGTCCAACTGTTAACCTAGTACTGCCAAGTCCACCACTAAACCATGTCCCTAAGCACCTCATCTACCCGTCTTTTGAATACCTCCAGGGATGGGGACTCAACCACTTCCCTGGGCAGCCCATTCCAATGCTTGACAACCCTTTTGTTGAAGAAATTTTTCCTAATATCCAATCTAAACCTGCCCTGACACAACTTGAGGCCATTTCCTCTCGTCCTATCGCTTGTTACTTGGGAGAAGAGACCAGCATCCACCTCACTACAACCTCCTGTCAGGTAGTTCTCACAGCAGCGTGACAAAGTTCCTCAATAAAGCACATAGGGAACATCTCTATATTTTCAAGAAATTGCAGCAGCTACTATAGGCCCCGGTGTGACAGTCTTGGAGAACAGTGACTGTCATTCCAGAACAGATACTCAACAGATATCAGGAAGACAAAAACTTCTTGCATAGAAGTTGACAGTGTGTCTCATGCTTAACATCCATGCCAATGCTTCTTTCTCAAAAGTGAATGTACTGTTTATCTTCAAAGGCTCTATATTGTGGCTTTTTATGATTATGATTTTTAGAATTAATGAGTTAGAGGTCAAAGCTTCTGCCAAATTTGCTGCTCTTTCAGTTTTCTCAAACGAAGCAATGAAGTAAAGGGATCAAATTAACTTCTGTGAACTGTAATTTTCCCCACTGAGAATAATTTTAAGAAAAATATCCTTTACATACCTGAAATTTACTAATTCCATTGATCTGAGAAAAAATCATGTTGTTGTCATACAAAGCTTTTGAAATTATGTCCAACACATCTTGCCACTGTAAAAACCAAAAAACCAAAACCACACAATACAATAAAATTATCTCAACATCACAAACAGCAATGACAACTAAAAGATACTAACTAGCTTCCCTAAGAAAGAATAGATCAAGAGGCCTTTCAAAATACTAGCATTTGCAATTTAAAAAAAAGGAAAAAGAAAAAAAGAAAAAAATATTTGTGTGCCAGGAACCGAATCTTTCACAAAACTAAATATGAAATGCAATTAAAAAGATCAGCTTGAATAAGAGAAATTGGTAGCCATCACAAAACCAGCTTTACAATGTTTCAAAAATATCTGGACAGTACATTTAAAAATACCTAGAATTTCTAACGCTCTCATATAAATCTATGTGTTTGTCCTTTAAAGAAACAAGCTTTTACATCTGTTGACTATGATCATTGTTCACATCCCAGTTACATGAATTGCCCTACAAATTCTCAAAACAATTAAGTGGCTGTACAGAGTGATTCAACATTTTGGTAGCTAAACTAATTCCTGAAAATATTACGACCGCTTTAAACACACACACACACACACAAAGACAAGAGAGAAAATGGCAATTGATACCGTTGAGAAAACTAAGGATTTAGCCCCTGGATCTTTAAATTGAATTCTCTTCAGTGTTCGGACCACAGCTTCCACTTTGGTGGAGTGACTTCCCTTTGAAAAGTCAAAGAACAGCATTAGTAAAGTAGGATATTAAACAACTCCTTCCACATTCATTGTTTTATTAAATAATGTTATATTACGACTCCATACCTTTACACAAATTTAAAAATTAGCAACCTGGAGGAAGAGCAGGTTAAGTAGCACTGAACTGCTTTTATACCTGCCTTATAACGCACTGCCATAGATCAGCAGTGTATTATGGCACGTGCACTGCAGTACATGGAAGAATGAAGCGCCAGACAGATACACCTGTCTAGTTCTGATGAGGCAAAATGGATAGCCCAAGCAGTGCAGTTGCTCCAAACATGCCAGTCAGGCCTGCTGAGGTTTAACATAGTGGAACAATCTTTAACAAATTTTCCAAATGCACATTTAAATTTCCCTCCCTTCACACCTCTTGATAACTGGCAATGAAAAAACTTACCTGAACTCTATTCCTGTTGCGTTTGTTTCTCACTCTGGCAACACCAAACATGCTCAGTACTATGAAGCTTGTTAACATATTTCAAATACTAAGAAATTGGTAAATACAATTAAATTAATTCTTGAAAGATTGCATATTGCAATGAAAACATCTTCATATTGTGCATTCAGAAGTATTTCAGTGCTTAATGAAGCCAATACTACAGTCTGCTGCTTGCCCACTTTAACTTCTGTACTCCCCCCTTTCCCTTTAAGTCAGGAAAAGGATTCCGACAAACAGTTCTTCAGTATCTTCCTCTGTTTCCTTCAGTATATACTTTGTATACAACAATTTTACCTAATGTGTTTTTTACGTTCAGTAACTCTGCATTAAATGCTGACAAGCCCTTTCCAGAAGAACATTAATTTACGGTCATTCTTTCTAACAATTCTTTGCACAGTAAAAAAAAATAGGTTTAACTTAATGTAGATTTTTAATTTAAATTTTTAGTTTTACTTTAATTTAAAGGGCTTCTTAGCCCTTATTTAATTCCTTACTAGTTCCTACATGCATAGTAATTTCAGGCTGCACTAGATTCAGCTGGACAAATATTGTTTTATTTCTGTCTGCACCTGTCCTCTGAACATTGAATTAACTATGTTGGCTTGCTACAATGACAGATCAAATTCACTGAAGTTATGCTGCTTGCAGAATTGGCGGGGAAGGATGTCAGCAGTCTAAGCACAAGTTGGAAACCAATGCTGGGCTGCTCGATCATTCGTATGTTATGCATCTAAATAAATCTCCAGGAATACATGTAAAAGACTTTCTGCAGACTGTTTTACCAAAGGCTGCAATAAGCAGTACCATGTTATTTCCCAGGGTCTTCCATAGCAATTCCAACTCTGCACCATAGACAGAGAAGTAAAACAGCTTTTTTCATGACATCTCTGTTGCACCTGGTAGACATTAACACCGTTTCCAAAAGTCAGACAGACAATTAAAAATGCATATGTCAGTAGGTATTATGATCCTCAAGGATGAGTGACGCACTTGCAGCCCTACGGCAGCTGCCTGCCAATCATAACCACCTTCAGTTAGGAGATCTGAGAGTAACTTTTGGTATTTCCTATATATTCCAGGGTCATTTCTGTGCTTTTCTGATACCATTGATCTGTGGTTCAGTGATAACAATTCTGGCTAATCTGCTCTGACTGTCTTTTCCTCAGAGACTTTTTTTGGACCTTACCATAGGTCCTATTTTTCCCTGCTATAAGAGACAGTAGCTTTAGCCACTGTTGATCTTCCCACCCTTCAGACATCCCCTGGCTCAGGTGTTACAAACACGACTTTGTACAAGATCAGTCAGAGGAACTATGGTGAAGAAAAGAAACGGTACAATGATCAAAGTGGTTACAGTCTTTCTGCTCTATTTTTTAAACAAGATAACTAAATGTGCAAGTTCCCCATCCCTCCGCTTACATTACATTAGACAAATTATATTAGACTTGTCATTGAACTAGCAATTGACTAAAGCTTTGGTTCACAGCACACAAAATTTCAATTTTATTCTCAATATTTAAGGAGAGACAAAAAATAGTTTTCAGTCTGTCTGAAAAACAAGAAGTGTTACCCCACTCATTACCCATACACCTTGGGTTTCTCATTTTGTTGAATATCCAGATGAGTATTTATAAACAGATTAGCTAGTTTAATTAATTATGGAACAGCATACATTAGAATCAAAATTACCCTCTAACAAACTATTTCTGTCTCAGATGACAGGCTGGCAATACCCACTGTAATAGTGACCGGACACTGGAAGCTTTTACAGAACCAAAATATGCACGGATGCCAGGAGTGTGTCTCTCAGTATAAAATGCTCCCATTTACAGTAGTCCTTTTGCATCTAAGTAATTAACTTAAGATGGTAAGTGCTGGTACAATAAAGAACAAGGACGGAAAGGAAAAAAACAGAAAAAGAAACGGGGGGGTGGGTGGGGGGTACTGAGTATTGAAAGAGACCAGAGGGACTGAGAAAGTTCAGATGAAAATATAAACGCTGAATAAATCACACAGTTTTTTATACACACTATGAAATATTGATCCTAACCTTAGTATTCTATAGACACCACAGTAAGTTAGTTATTCTTTGTTAACTGTCCTTAAGGGAATATGAGGTAGAAATCTTTGTTTTTAACAATGCTGCTTGTTTTGATAGTACACACAGTGAAGCTACAGTACAAATTGGGTTCTTTTGTGAAATAAGAATGGGCATTGCTCAAGATGACATGTGAATTCACACAGAATTTGTATTTTTGCTTTGCCTGAAGTTTTTGATGCAGAAAAACGTAAGGAAAACACTATAACCCTTTATACACTACAGTAGATAACGTGTTCAAAATGTAGTTATTCTATTTATTTTTTTTAACACGATTTATGAAACATATTTGAAATTTTCTTGTTAGAAACAGGGCAATATCTCTAAACCCTGAGAAAATAATGTTTAAAAACCCTTATGAAGTGAGGTCCTAATAACTAGCACTTCAAAAAATATAGCCTGTTTACTCCCCCTGGTGCCACATGCTGTCAACTACTACAAACCTAATAATTTGAGTTAGGAAGCTTCTATTCATAAAATGGAATTCCAGTTGTCCAGGGAGGCTGACGTAACTAGTGGAAATATGGTAGCTTTGACTTCAGTACAGGCCAGCAACCCTAGTATACCTGCAAGGCTCAAGGAGACTTACACAAATACCATGGAACTTTTTGTCAGCACATTTAATTATTCATTTGAATTCTTCTAACCAGACTAAAGCTCTGATTAGTATGTCCAGCTGTATCATAATCATATTTTAAAGACGGCAGCAGCATCTAGATCAAAATATTACCAATATTAGTCTTTTACCTTTGCATTTTAGTCCAGAATCCTCTATTTTTTCCACAACGGCAATAACCACAGGTTCTTGGTTTAACACTATTCTATAATAGACTTTCGCAAAGCCAAAATATATCTATGCTCTACATATGTGTCAGTATTGCTAAAGACTCAGGTAGCTCTCGGGGAGCTCGAGAAACATTCCAGATGACTATCTTAAGCTCAGAATCAGGATTTACATTCTTTGGCTAACAATGAAGACTTATGAATTGAAAATATTTACATTGCCCTAACATAGCCTTATAGTACAGGCATCTTTCTCAAGCTACTAATTTCAAGCAAACATAGCAAAACTATGCCTCCAAAAAGCTTCAAATCTCCTTAGCTACAAAAAGCCAAAACCACAACCAAAAAAGCACAACTTAGCTGCGTACAGACAGCATTTATTTCTACCTAGTGTCAAATGCTTAAACAAAAATAAAACTGAAGCTCAGCAAAAGCTGTCCCTCTACCCCCCGACCCCAAGACAGCATTACTTTAAAAACTGTGTAATTTTGTAATACATCTACAAGGCCTTTCCTCAGGCACATTTAAAGAGTAGGTGTTAAAAAGATATCCTCTGTCACACTGTTTCATGTTTTGTTTCCAAAACTCTTAAGAGTTATGAAAAGGATAAGTTAAAAAACAACCCTGAACCAAACAAAAAAAACCCAAAACCTTTCTCTTGACAGGAAAACGCATATCCTTCCTTGGAGAAGGATGCAAAAACATTGATTACACTATAAGAAAGGCCTATATACATCAGGTCCAATTCAAAGGAAAAAGAACTATATCTGTTGGAAACAAAACTAATTATAAAAGTGAACCTACTTATAAAATGATACAGTATATTTGTCTGCCTAAATGCAGCATGCAACAAAACACAACAAAAACACACTGCTGAAAGTTTGGGCCAATAAGCTCACATAAACAACGTACCTTTACCGGAATATCATCCTCCTGATTTGCAGTTTCTGCAGTGAAGACATACGATATTTCTTTATGAGATGTTGTCTGCCTGCAAATGGCACATTTAATGGAGCTCCGGCGGGTGCCAACGCTGTACTGTTCTATGATGATAGCTACACACTCATTACAAAAACAGTGTCCACACGTCAGCACTGCCCACTATGCAGGGAATTAAAAAAAACCCAAACACAACACAGTATCAGTTTTGGGTCAATGCAAAAGAAAACCAGTGTACTAATACATGATAAATTACATTTTCATAGAAACATTATTTTCATAGAAATTCATCAGATTAAAGTGTAAGAACTTTAGAACTTTTAGCACTAAAAAGCCTGGATTTCAAAGTTTTCCAGCACAGATTCACGATCCACAGAACTTCCCTGCATTTATTGTTCATTTTTTTTGCATTTTCCAAGTACACAGATTATTTATTTCCTTTTTTTTAAAAAATTACACAAATGTTTCTATTGGCCTCCTGTAAAAGTCTTTATCTATATATTCATACCACATCAGCCTTTTTAAATAAAGCCCTAAAGAAAGCGCTTTAATTTTTACGTATTGTTAATTCCTAGACAACATTTCTGGATTTAAGAAGAACAGAGAGGCTTAATTTTTTTTCGACAGAATACATTAGAAACAAAAGATTGCATTGCAGAAGCTGTCCTTCCTTTGAGGAACTAGAACATCCACGTGTCAGCTGTGACTTTTCTTAACAGAGAAGTAATTTGTAAACCAGTGGTTTTGCACCTACTCTGTCCTATTCTCTTCTGTAGGCCACTCTAAGAGGAAAAAAATAGAACAGTTTTCTTGGGTCCAAGTAGCAGAGGCAATTGGCTAAATGACCAGTTATCAAGCAAAAGATCTTATAGGCTTTGTAAGGTTTTTCAATCATGAAGAAATGGGATGCAAAGCATTTTAAAAGTTCCTTGCAACACGAGGCTACTATCATCTCAAGTGGAAGTCTTGGCCAAAGTTAAAGAAAACCCTGTTTTTTCCCCTCAGTGAGTTCCTCCAGTTCAGAGATGAAACATATAGGCAGTTAACAGTGCAAACAACAGTTATCTGTAAAAATCTGTATCACCCTTGGAAGAAGAGCACAGAGGGGATTTTGGAAACATAGCAGGACAGCAGTTCATGCTTACACATGTCTAAAGCTAACAGAAGGTAAAACGCCTTAAAACAGCTACCCTAAAAAAAAAGCCAATTCAGTTTGACTGTACAGGAGTCCTTTCATGTTTTTACCTAATGCGTGGTAAGTAAATAATATACTATGGCTTCGTACTTTATGATATGGTTCAGTTTTGATTAAATCTCACTTAAATTTCAGCTCCTGCAGTTGAGGAGTTAAGTGGTGGTGAAAGAAAACCAGATTGCCAGTCTTTATTCTATTGCTTTTTACTACTGTTTAAGTAGCTAATATCCATTTCTTTAAAGTCTAGAAGGAAAAAAATACTATCGGTAGAGCAGTTACAGTAAAATACAATAGTATACTGCAGAAGCTTATCTATTTCTTCATTCTATTAGCTTTTAAGTGTCAAAGAATTTTTTCTGGCAAAAGTATGAAAGCAAAACTTCAGAGTTTCAAAACAATCAGCAAAACACATTTTTGGAACACTTCTGTCAAAACACTTAAGCATCGATGTCAACAGCTAAAGCCAGTAGAGGTGCTTGCAACTGAGCAAGATGTTATATCAGGGTAGAGGTTGACTGGTACTTTACAGGAAAGGGCTTATTTCCCCTGTTTCAATACAATGTTCATTTAAAATCAGATGTTGAATATTTGACACGCACTGATTCAGATCTAGGTAAAGACATCCTAAACACAAAAACCCACTGACTAAGTATCTTACCTGTTTTCCCAGTTGACGTGCACAGATTGGACATGGTTCTGGGTTAACTCCCCCAGTAGTTTTATCCTGAGACTATAAAGTAGAAAAAAAACACCCAAACAATTTTGTGTTTCAACAAGTAGAAAGTTATTCTGTTTAAAACAAGCTTCTAGAAAGAAAATGAATAGTGAAGTCCTTAAAAAAGTGCATGAACAAATTAAAAGACATCATTCATGAATAGCAATCTTGATGAGCTAAAAAAATACGTAGTATGTTAAGCAAAAGGAGCACTGTTCATACTGCAGTCCTTCAGAGAGCACCTGCATCTCTATTACAGCTTTGAAAAATCCCAGTAAAATGCAAGGTTCAAACAAGAAACTCCTCATATTTTCTATCAGCTTTACATTGTTGTAAAAACACTTAAATATACTTTATCATGCTTAACTATGCTCACTTAAGTATAATTGTGCTTACTCGAACACTATGATTAAAATAAGATAACATGCGTGGGGTTTGTCTCGGCGGTTTTTTGTTTGGTTGGTGGGGGTTTTTTGTTTTTTCTTTTTTGTTCTTTTTCTTTTTTTAACATTTATTTAACCTACAGACCTGCTCGTCCTTCTGTTTAAGTTAAGCTCTTTGTAAAATAGCAAGGGTACATGCAGAGGTACATAATTTTACAAGACTTCTACTAAATATGGCCCAGTTAGTTTTAATGAAAATTTAACCATCTACAACTACTTCATAGTTTTATAACTGTGTACTTAAGCAAGTAGCAAAAATACATAATGTAATAAATAACTTTATGAATATGCAATAACACAAAGAACAACACACTGCATTCTAACATGTAATGAATCTTTAAAGAAAATATTATTTTTTTTTAATAAAAATAACAGTAGGTTTCTTCTATTAGGTAAATAGAGTACATCATTTTCGTAAAGACCAAGGAATGATAAACCTTACTTTCTCCAGATTAGTGAGATACAGAAGTTGTCCTAATTTCTTTTGAAGCTGTGATTTGGCAACTGCCTTGTCATTCAAAAGTTTCACTCGATTTTGCTCTACCTATGGAACAGATTAAACATGTATTACAAAAAAGAAAAGATAGTTAATTAATTTTTTTGGCAAAATTCAACTGAATAATTTACTGGGGACAGATAGAAGACTAGCTCATTCTGTAAATTTAAGATTCACTTCTGCCCAAGCAAAATTATCTGTTCCTTTCCTGTACCCAGTATGAACAAAGCACTGTGAATGGGTTGAGACCTAGGAGGTATACAAACTTGCTCTTTGTTGTTTTATTTGCATTACTGGTTCTTTCCAGAGACAAAACCAATTTTAAATAACTTAATTTTTTTTAATTCTTAATTTTCAAATTTCATTCTATTTATCATTTATCTTCTTGCAGCCAAACAGACCATAGGCTCTACCACTTGTTCTGAAAACAATAGGTAAGAAACAATTACTTTCTTTATACTACTTATACTTGAATAAAAAGCTGTCACTTTTTATTCAATCTATACAAAGATAGAAACATAAGCTGACTTTTTTTTAGATAATTACAGTTGGTAGTGGCATAGTTATTAATATGGCAGAAGAGGTAAGCACCCAAAGCATGAAGACCAAAGTAATCAGTGTGTCTTTTAGTGTTGCAAATACAGGCATAAATCTTAGACTTTGTTAAACCCCTACAGAAAGAAAAGAAGCACTTTTCTCTTACACTGAATCTCACTGAAAAAAGCAAAAAAATATTTCTATTGAAAACATATTTCTATTGGTGCCAAAAAAAAAAAATTAACATGTTAAATTGACCCAGCATTTTCTCTATGTTCATGAACAGAAAATCTTGGAGGTGGCTCAGAAACTCCAAGATACTGAAAAATTATTTATCTTTTAGGTTTTCACTGCTTTTTTTTTTTTAGGTCCTTGGGGAAAGTAGTAATATGGGTGAGAAATCAGGTCAAATTAATTTTCCACCAGCTTGGAAAACTGGGCAATTGTAGACAAAGGTCCCAGAGCTGCTGGAAGGACAGCAGTCTTTTGGAAACACACCACTCAGAGTCAGAAGGCTGACAAAAGTATATCAAAATAAGAGTTACAAGCTCACAAAGGCCCATACACTGAATGTAGAAATAGATATGAACTCTTTACTCCATCAAGGCTTTCTGAAATGGAAACAGAGGCGTATTATAGACCTTATACATAGATCTAGATAGAGATTTTATTTTTGTAGGAGGTAGGTTCTTTCAGAAAAAAACCCAAACATTTCTTTCCTGCCAAGTACTTTACCTCATGCGGTTCTATGATGTGGAGAACTGGTGGATTTGGTTTTGGCTCATCAGGATGACGCACTCTCAATCGTTCTGTAGCCATTGCCAGTTCATCAATAGCAGACACGTGATCCCTCAGTACCATCCAATATTCATGAAGTAACTGTAAGAGAAGCCTAAATAAATTAGTAGCAGAACAGAGTTGAGTTCCCTCTATATGATTCTGCCATACAATGGATAATGCAAAAATCTTTTTGGGGTAAGGGATAATATTTCTTTACGGTAATTCAGCCACAACAACAACAAGTTACAAAGGAAAACTAAGAGTATAGAGATCATCTTGCCTGCTTGCTTTTCGAGCCTCTCTTTCTGAACAACTATAAACAGCCATCTCATTTCTTCTACATCTATTGCTGTTACAATAACTAACACAACTAAAAGTTCAGAAACAAAATGCCTTGCAAGACTAAACAAATGCTGAATAAAATAAGGAAAAATGATTACGCAATTTCAAACAGCTAGCTATTATAGTACTAAGACTGCTTCTGAAAGATGAAGCATGTTTTAAAGAAATGTTAACAGTTCGAGTGGTCTTGATAAAAGCACAGACAAGCACAAGGTGAAGATAACATCAGATTCAATTCTCCCAAGCAAAAGTAAATTCTGGCTTTCTACAAAAGAAATGGCTACAACTGGAAGTATACTATACGTATAAACTGACATTTTAAATTACCGTTAATACTGTAAAATACTTCTTCCCAAGCTTTCTACTATTTACATATTTTATAAAAAAAATGTTCAGTGATCTTTACTGAAATTCTAAGACCTTTTGCAAATGCCAGAAAATACTGTGTGTTGATTTCTGATTTCTCAATTCTAAACACTCAGTTGCTGGGGGGGTGTGATGGTTGGTTGGTTGGCATTTTCCTTTTACCTGGAGAAAGACCTGTTTTGAGCTATGCCTGAATTACAAACAAAATTACTGTGTATTAAACCTGGCTTACAGGGTAAAGGACAGAGAATGAGCTGAAAAGAGCTCACTCCCCCCCAAACTAAAGAAACTAAACTAAAATTAGGGGGAAACCAAGACAAAATTGCTTTTTCTTAAAAAAAAAAAAAAGCAAAGCTTGTTTCAGATTTAAGGCTTATTTTACAGAGCATCATCCCTGTGAGATCAATGTAGATTGTAGTAGTATGGACAACTGAAATCAGTATTTCCAAGTCATGACAGATGGAATTATAACAGCACTATTTTCATTCTCATTGGCATGTTAGTCCCACCTTTTTTTTCCTAAAGTAAAGGGACACGAAGAGATTATGGTCCCTTCTTGCAGCAGAAAATCCCCAACACATAGCAATGCCTTGGTAACTGGTTACCTTACGTCCTCCTCCTTTTGTGAACGGCTACAAACCAAGGACATAAAATAATGAAGCATGAGAACAACTAGGGTCATTCTCCAGGCAGACTTTTGGTACTGAAGGTAAGCTGAATTACAGAATGGACCAACACTCAATTTGCTGAATCTTGCTACATTCCGATTTAACTAAACAGATTAACACATTTAATTGTATCTGTATACTGTCTTAACAGATGCAATTACATTGCTTACTAATTTGCTTAGTAGCCAGTATAGCTTTTAGAAACTCTTAAATGATATACAAAACCATTTAAAATTAAATCCTGTAATAAGCACTGTGAAAAAGCTCTGTGTAGGCAAACCCTAATTTCAGGAATACAACTCAGATGTGTTCATATTCAGCTTAAACTTGTTTCTATTCCATTAAATGGACTACGCAACTGTTTTGTCACCATCCCATTTACTGTACCTTATATTCCTTTTTCCATGCTTCAAAGAGTTCCAGAAATATGCTGCCTTCTTCAGTTAGCTTAACATCCATTCGGTGAGCTTTGGCAAAGGAGAGAATAGCTTTCAAGGCACGTTCAGTTTCACTGGTCGCCCACAGTCCTCTACTCGTGGTGGGCAAACGGTCATCAACAAGCCCTTCTTCGTCTTCTATCATCTCCTCAAATATTGCCATTTGGCCTTTAACACTGAAAAACAAACCCAACACAATACTTATCACCGATTTTGTACTTCTACATCTGTTTCTACTTACTCACAGTATATTTCAGCCTTCTAATATTTGACTCAAGGATAAAGCAAATGAAACAAATATAAACAGCTGTTTTATTACCCGATATCCCAAAAGCTTGGTTTGAACATGGTGACCTCAGTACCAGCAATGAAATCACTGTACAGGCCATTTTGTCAGCTCAAAAATCATCAATAGCTTTTGTAAATGCTTATGCATCTTAATTATCTTTCAGTAGCTATTAATGATTAATGTCTCATTCATTTAAAAAAATTGCAATTCTGACATTTTTAAATCAGCAAAAGTTGCAGTTAAAACTCTGGTGCAAAATTTGCTGTGCATTGCACTATTTAAGAACACTACAGCTTCCCAGTTCCCTCCCTGACAAACAACATTAATTTAGAACACGCTAACATTTCCTAACGATTCCAGCAATCATTAGGTAACAGAGCTCCCACTGATAAAGACTTTTAAAAAATGTTTTCTCAGTGACCTCAAGATTTTTTAATCAAATTTTGACATTGTGGGAGATATGAAAGACGGAAGTCAAAGAGGAAGCATGCAGAGGGCTGTAATCTATGCCTCTCAGTACTGCCTACTATGTATATTTCTCTCACACCACACACTGGCACAACCCTTCTTTCAGCTCACCGCTGCATTCATGTCTGAATTCATGTCTGAAACCTCCTCTCTTGTTGTGGCTTTAGTCAAATTCTGTTCTTTGTGAATTATACAGAATTAAAAAGAAAACCTGTATAAACAAGGATGGTATTATACCATTTGCAACTGGACTGCAAATAAATATTTGCACAAACAGGAGTATGCATTTAATTATCATACTTGTATTTATACACACACTTTCTGAATACTTCAACACTTCCTTTCAAAGGTATGGTCATATTATAGCAGCCTGAGAAAAAGTGGCATGTATTTGTTCTTTATACACAACTTTTTCAAATGAAGTTTACACAGAAAATGAAACTTGACTAATGAAATTGCCATCAAGGCCATTAGCAAAAGTCCCTGCAATTTGTTCATAAAGTTATTTCAGAAAACTTAAGTAGAAAATATAAACCCATCCAACCTTCATTTTTATATCAGTTTATAAAGCTATGAACTTACGTATGAGAAAAGAGCTTCGACTCGTATTCTGTGAACAACTCATCAGCCTTACAAAAGACACAGCTGCAATATAGAAGATTGAAAACAGAAGCACTCAGAATTTAATCAGAAACAAAAGTAATTCCTGTAATTCCCTATTCCAACGTATAAACCCACAAAGACCTTAAAAAAAAGAGAAAAATTTAAGTCTTATGTACACTCTATAACAACTGACAGGAAGAGATTTCATAAAAATAAAATCAAAGTAAGGTCATGATTCTAACGAATGGATCGGTAATATCTGAATGCATACAAACCCTGAGTACAGAATAAAGACTTTAATCTCTTCTTATTTCAAATGAAGGAAAATTTAATAATACACCTCTAAAGTATATTTTCTATTTTCAAGACATACTTGTTAAGTGGAAGTCTAACAGGTCGCAAATGGCAGATAGTGGCAGCCTCAATAACCTGCTTAGAGGGAGGGCCTTCTAAGTTTTTCACTGCTTCTCTTACAATCTTCTGGAACTTCTTCACTTCATCCAGCTGGGTTGTGAGCAGGTATTGAAGGCCTCTGCAGTCACGGAATCTGATTTAAAGAAAAGAGGAAACTAATTGCACACTGAGGCACCGAATCCAAACTTAATTCAGTATTTTGAAGTAGAAGAGAAACAGCTAACAGAAGAACTATATATAGAACAGCATATGAAGTTCGTATCATAAGCAAAAGCTTAGTACTACTACGTGTAATGCTGTTAGAAATCATTCCATTGTATCCCCTGAAATGATGCTTGGTATTTGCAGAATAGAAAGACTGTTTCCAAGCCTTGAGAGATGTGACCGATCATTAGTAGTCAGCCAACCTGCATCATTCTGGTCCACAACACAAATCTAAAGGTAAACAACTGCACATACTATTGTCTTATTTGCATTTGTTGGCCAAGAAACTGATTTTCAATGCACCGTGCAATTCACAGCAGACACATGCACCCATCAGAAAAATATACTGCATTTTGCAGGTTAGCTTTCAAAATTACAATTATTGAATGGATGTGACAGTGAACTGTTTTCCTAAAACCTAGCTGCCTTTCATGAATGTAGTGGGGACATGAACACCAGTTAAGCACTTCCCATACTGTGTTTTTCCTGTGAGCAGAGGTCTCTTGCCAAGAGTCCACCTTTCATGCAAGGTCTGGTGTTCATATACAAGACACTGTATTACAAGACTGTGATTCTACCCCATATGGCAAATTTAATCCAAAACATCCCTTTTGTAAAGTAGAGAGAAAAGCACAGGTTTAACAACACTACTAAGTTTGGCATTTAAAATTACCTCCTTAAGCAATATGTATTTTAAAATAAAATAGACAAGTTTGCCTAACCAGTCTGAAAATACATGTAAATTGCAATCACGAGTCTGTTGTTAATACCATCAGTGGCCCAATATTCCAGGTTTATGAAAATCTCCCACACCATACCCTGGATTGGCCATCTCTAATATTCAACTAGATATTAGCACTTGTGCTTCCACCACTGACCGGCAATACTTCATAAGACACTGGGTTTTAAGTTTTTATTGCATATGCTAAAATAAATTTGAAAGGAAGTAAGTTTTATCCCCATTTTATATAAGAAACAGTTGAGTCACAGACAGCTTGTCCAAAGTTACAACCTGTAAGCAGCAACTATTTAAAAGGTACTTCCTAAATAACTCATTTCTAGGGAGAAAAAAAAAAATTTCCAGTATGACACAGGCAAGCATACAGATAGACGTATAGACATGCAAGATCAATGTGACCAAGCAAACAATCATTTGCTCAAAGTTGTTTTGACCAGAATGAGATGCTATCATTCTCAAATAACACTTAACCATGAAACGTTCATATCACGGTCTTGTCCAACCTCAACCTCTCTCCTCAAGCAGGGCCACCTAGAGCTGGTTGCCAAGGACCATGCCCAGATGGCTTTTGACTGTCTCAAATGATGGAGACTTCTCAACCTCTCTGGGCAACCTGTGCAAGTGCTCAGTCACCCACACAGTAAAAATGTGTTTCCTGATGTTCAGAGGGCGCAAACTGAAACACAGGAGGGTCCCAGTGCCTCTTGTGCTGTTACTGAGCATCACTGAAAAGAGCCTGGCTCCATCTTTTTTACACCACCTTTTAGGTATTTATAGACATTGAGACGATCCTCCCTGAGCAGTCCCAGCTCTCTGAGCCTCTCCTTATATGAGAGATGCTCCAGTCCTTTCATCATCTTCTTGGTCCTTTGTTGGACTCTCCCCAGTCCATCTCTCTCTTGTACTGGAGAGAACTGGACACAGAGTACTCCAGGTGTGGCCTCACCAGCACTGAGCAGACAGGAAGGATCACCTCTCTCCACCTGCTAGCAATACTTAGTCTAATGTAGTCCAGGATACCATTAACCTTATTTGCCGCAAGGGCATTGCTGGCTCATGGTCAACTTGGTGTCCACCAGAACCCACAAGGTCCTTTTCTGCAAAGCTATTTTTCAGCTGGGTGGTGCCAATATCTGTTTTGAAGAGAAAATTTCCTTCTTCCTTCTCAGCATAATTCTGAGGTTGGAAGAAAGGAGTGGTAAAAGTTTCGTATCTTTATTTAGATTATTTAATAGAATTATATTAAGTACTAAAAAGTAAAAGATATGCTTACTTCCACCTAGGGCAAGGAATTACTACCTTTTGGGATCATGTTAACAGAGTAGTCATACTGGACAATTTGTCTTTAAATATTTAATTAAAATTGTGCATCTTTTAAGTATTTAAATTTATACACACATACACTTTTATATATAATTAGATATTTATATACATATGTATATGCCTTTATATACACCTATTTTTAGATTTTAATATATGTAAAAAAAATTTAAAAAATGTATTTAACTAAAACACGATTCAGAAAGACTGTATTTAAGAGCATAAGGATTGTTCACGTATCTGAGAAAACTGCCTGAAATTAAACTGTGAGAGCACTCTCCTTCCTAGGTCTCCCTTTTCTGTGATGAACTTATGGAGCTGGAGCACAGAAAGTACAAGAGGAGGCTGGGAGAAAGGGTTTATTCAGCCTTAAAATGAGATAGCTCAGGGGAGACCTTATTGCTTTCTAAATCTATTTAACTGGAAGGTACAGCAAAGACTGTGCCAAACTTTTCTCCGAGGTGTATGGTGAAAGGACAAGAGACAATGGACACAAGATGTAACACAGGAAATATTAACTAGATAGAAGGATTTTTAATTTCCCCTTCCCCCCCCCACCGCCCTCAAGTGGGTCAAATACTGGACCAGGCTTCATATAGAAGCTATGAAACCTCCCTCCTTGGAGTTACCCTAAACTCAACAGGACAAATCCCTGTGCCACCTGATTGGGCTGAATCTCTGAGCATGGGCCTGGATCTATAAGCTGGGAGTTGACCTAGGTGACCTCCCAGATGTCCTTTCCAAACCATTATTCTGTAATCGCACCCAACAGTAGTACTGTTGTCTAACGTAAACCCAAACAAGAATTCTTTACTTAGAAAAACACTGATGCTATTTTATGCTGTTAAAACAAGGATTTTCTGCTGTTGTCTGTTTACTTTCCATTTAAGCATGTCAGTTTCTTTCAGAGTTAACTTCAATACAATCAACTTTGAAACTTTCCTGCTCAGCAGTTGCATGAGTATGGAAGACTGTAAAATCACCATAGATAATACAAAGCAACATTTAAAAGAATGCTTGTCTAGGAGAAAACTGTAATTCTCCTGCATATCTTTCTAAGTCTTCTATCTAGTTACACTTTTTGGGGGACTGTTTTTGAAACTTAATTGCAGTTGATCTGATGCAAAAGTCTGCTATTTAACTGCAATTGTGACCACAAACTGGTAAGAGGACTCGAGCAGACTTAACTGTATTCATTAGCCTATTTTAGCTATTCTCTTACTTCTCTGCCATGGAGAGTTTATTAATCTGCTGTTTGTAGTTGCTGGTTATTTCATTTTGCACACGCTGAACAAGCTCCTCATCAATGGCATAATGTATTGCTGTCTGGATGACATCCAGCCACCAAGGAGAACCTGAATGTATCTGTAGGCAAAAGAATGGATTCTGTGAACATTCAACAAATAACCAATTTACTCATTACAGCAGAAGCTTATACTGCTCTCTAGGCCACACTCAGACTGGCAAATTCCATGGAAAGTGGAAGATGATAGTTTGCTTAAAAATATCCCCTTTCCTGTTTAAGTGAATACATTAATAAGAAATTTTCTAGATTCCCATCTAATTCCGCATCTTCAAATTGCTTCAGTAGTTAAATTCACTGAAGCCATCTACACAGAACAGCCACACAGAGATATTGTAATCTCAGAGTTTCCTCTTTCTCTCTCTCAAAGAGATGGGAGAATCATTTAATCAGAGAAAGCAAGCTCTCTGTGAAATTAATAAAGAGCAACACTGAAGTGACCTTGTAATTTTAAACGGTGAAAGAAGATGCAGAAGTTTACTCCCTCAAGTGCCATTTGCCTCTATTTCTTTACTATTATGCAAGCGACAAGCAGCATTTCAACTCAGGTGTTTATCAATTCATGAAGAGTTTGCACCTTCGCATGAAACCCGAATTGTCATATTGATTAAGCACAATGACCAAATGCATGTCAAAGTGTCAAAGTTCCTTTGAAAGTAACTGAAATACCATCTGATACAGTATAGAAGTGTTTCATAGCCAAAACCTGTAACTTATTTACCTAAATTACAAGCGAAGCACAGTTAATATAAAAATCGAGCATGGTGTTAAACTCTACTGGACTCATCCCACCATGGCACTTAGGGATATGGCTTAGTGGTGGACTTGGCAGTGTTAGGTTTATGGTTGGACTTGATGATCTTAAAGGTTTTTTCCAACCTAAATGATTCTATGTACTTCTGGTTTTAGTCATCTGTTGAAGTACTGTGTGCCTGTTTCAGGGCTCTGTGTGTGTGTGCACACATGCACATGCTGCTGAAGTCCCATTCCAAACAGGCCTTCAAAGAACTGTTAAAGATAATAAACAGCTGGAGTTCTAGATAAACACATGAAAATAATATTTAAAAAAAAACCATCTCAAAATTCGGAGACTAAATATTTAAGAGGTACCTGCCTTTCTCTGGAGCTCCCGAATGGTCTGAAAAACTGGCTGTAAGGCCTGATGGGCTTCTGCAACTTCTGCATTGGATTTACTCATATAATGCTGTCGAAGCTGTTCTGCCTGTATGGAAATCAGAGCTTAAGTTACTCACAACTCTTATTTATGAGGAATAATTGAAAATGCAAAAACTCCCCAGCTACAATAGTGTTTTAAAATGGTTAGCTCCCTATGTGCTACCCACTTTCATTCATAAGCAATATTTAGCACTAATTTTTTCCTCTAGAATCTAGCATTTATTAGTAAGCCCAAAAAACATTTGAGAAGACAAACTACTACAAAGATGCTAACTATGCAATTTTGCTTTTGGACAAGCCCAAACAACACAATAGGAATACACTGCATTACAAAAAGTAACTGGAATTTAACACAATTCTCACTTCTCTGTACATTAAAATATATTGTGTTGAATAAGTAAACAATAAAAAGATCCCAGAACAATCTAAGAACAGGATAATTTAACTTACATATAAAACTTACCCATAAAGTAACAAGAAAGGTTTATATTTCATTTCAATAAAAATTACGTCTGACAGTGAAAACCCCTCTCGGTATGCAGGTCTCTCCACAAAATAATCAGTGCCAGTTTATTTGGTATTTTAAAAATTAACGAACAAATAACTTACATTCCTTACAGGAAACATGTACATGCACATGTATTTTTCACCATCACATTCCGATTTCACTAGATATTTTTATTTTGTGAGGTTTAGGGTGTGTTTAAGTCTTTCTTCGTTTTGTTTGGTACTACCAAGATAATGGCATCACTGTTATAGATGGAGCTCAGTTTAGCAGGAGTGCATAGAGACCTCAGGTATTTGGATGAGCTACTGGAAAAAGTTAGCTATGAAAAACAATCTCTGCTTCACGTTTATAAGCAAAATACAAATTTTCCGATCCTCCTTTTTACAATAAAGTCAGGAGAAGGTGATATAAAAAAATTGCTAGTTACATGTCAATAAAAAAAAAAGGTAGGGTTTTTATACAGGCTGGTAGAAACTCCTTAAATATTTAAGAGAACAAGTCTCATTAAAACAGAAAAAAATGCTATCTATGCATAGAATTTGCATAAAAGTTATAAAATAACACAAGATATTCAAATAATAAGACAGATACTGATCACCACCAAATAACTGGAGAGGCTAAAAGAACTGGGCTGCGGGGAGACCTGATTGCGGCCTTTCAGTACCTAAAGGGGGCCTATAGGAAAGATGGGGAAAATCTTTTCAGTAGGGACAGCTGTGACAGGACAAGGGGTAATGGTTTTAAACTAAACCAGGGTAGGTTTAGACTAGATACAAGAAAGAAATTCTTTACAATGAGGGTGGTGAAACACTGGAACAGGTTGCCCAGCGAGGTAGTGGAGGCCCCATCCCTGGAAGCATTCAAGTCCAGGTTGGACGGGGCTCTGAGCAACCTGATCTAGTTAGCGGTGTCCCTGCTCACTGCAGGGGGGTTGTACTAGATGACCTCCAGGGGTCCCTTCCAACCCAAAACATTCTATGATTCTATGTTCTTTTGCAAATGTGGTCCATATGTCCACTACAAGTAACCAGTGGGGAACAGTGATCCCAGACACTTCCCCAGTTAAGATTAATGATATAGTTAAACAGGCTTATGCACACAGGAAGTAACATGCAACAACTCACTTATGAGGCCAAAGATGGCTGACCTTTCTAGATGTTTAGGCAGTACAAGAGGGACAGGAATGAACCAGCTGCTGTAGCGCGTGCAAGCACAATATAAATAATACAGGGAGAGCCTAGACAGACACCCCTGGCAAACTTTAGGCTATGAAGAACACCGCATATCAGGACCTTCTCAAGAAGGTTTCAAAGAAGATACTATCAGTACCATACACAGGACCAAAAAGAGAGGTAGAAAAACAGCTTCAAGACATGACTGAGAAGATTCATTAGACTGTAGCAGCTTATATTTACTAGGAGATGGGGAAATGTTTTGGAATGGAGGGCACCTATGAAAGAAAAATAAACTTCACCTAGAGAAGACTATCTGCAGTTAAAATGAGAAAAGCTAAGGAAAACGTGAGGAAATAAAGGACTTAAAAGAATTCAGGATGATGCATTCTTTAACAGTAACATCTATGCAAGATATTTGGACAAGAACATTGTGAGGGTGGGGAAATCACATTTTAGAGATAAAAATTATTAAAGCTTCCATAAAACCCACTCGCAACATAAGAAATCACCAAGCATTCGGAACAGCAGCATTTTACTGGACATTTCTGCTCTCATCTCACACACTAAACAACTCTTGATTTTACTAACTTGAAAGAAAATGTACGTAGTTAACTTGAAAGATATTTAACATTATTCCTTTAGTTAAAGAAAGTATTGCAGGATAAAAAAAGTAAAAAGGTGCCCTTCAAAATTTATTTATATAAAACATATTATATAAAACATGTTTACCTCTTCTGCAAGTCGGCTATCGCGCAAAGTTGGGGGAATTCCTGGGTGCTTTGCCAACAACAATTCCATCAAATTGTGTGTAGAATGAAGTCTCTAAATATACACAAAGTCAACAGCAATCATGTAAAAAAACCATTGCAACACCTGTGACAGGAAAAGCTTAAACAGCAAATGAAAGCTTACAGCAAGAAATTAGTACTGATTTAAAATTAGCTTTATTTTGTCTCTGTTAATCTGGAAACATCTTATAAAAAAAGTAAACATTCTTTTCCTTGTTTTACTGAGGTAGGAAAAGAAACATTAAAAAGACCTTCTTCAACACCTTAAAAGTAAATCAGCTGGAAAGTCATCTGTCCCATATTCATCCTCCTAATTAAAACTTAACTATCATGCAGAACAAGTTATTTATCTTGGAGCACATTCTTTTGTAAATACCTCCCTGAATATTATTAGATAGGCTAAAAGAACTGTCTCCTTAAGTGAAATAAAATATAAGGAAAAAAACAGCTCCCACATTCTTTTGTAAATACCTCCCTGAATATTATAAGGAGACAGTTCTTTTAGCCTATCTAAAGTGAAATAAAATATAAGGAAAAAACCAGCTCCCAAGAGCTTCAGTAATTTTTCATATTTTTCAATTTTCTGAAATAGGTGGCCGAAAACATGATCTTTTTGTTTATGTTTAGGGAAAATAAACTTGATTGTTAACATAAGGCAACTGTATTCCTCTTCCCTAGGTTCACCCTACATATCCCAAACTAGACCCCTAATATTATGCTGCCTGCATATCTCCCACAAACTCATACAAATAACTTTCACTATCATGAACTTGTGCCCTTCTCACCTCCTGGATCCACTTCACCTTTGCCCTATCACTATCTCAGCCAGTGAAGACCACTGGCCAGCAGTGGTTTGCCCATTATATTAAAGAGCTAAACCTACACAACTGGGAAGCACTCAAGTTTTATTACACAAAGGCAATATTAGGCAGTGTACATTATGAGGAAAAAAAAGCTTTATTGGATTGTATAATTCAGTAAAACAGCTTAATTAATAATATTGTTATGAGTAGCTCAACAAGATCATGCTGATATGGCTATGCTGTAAGTGAAAAATGCCCCTGGGAAGTCACAAAGAGAAGGAAGGACCAAAGAAGCGCAATGGAGCCATCAGATGACCACGCGCAAGATAATCAAAGAGCGAGTAACTTGGTGAAGCAAGCAAAGTAAAGAAATAGACAACTGATCACTTCTTATTTACCCGTCATTAACATTTTAAATATCTTGTTATGCTTAAGAGAATTTTGCTCAATTTAGAACTGATATTTCTTGAAGAAATATAAAGATGCTACTTACAGAACCATTGCTTTTTTTTAAATCAGGAAAATATATTCATGTTTTTAATATAGTATTTAAAATGTATTAATATATTTCCTGAAGAGAAAACTTGCTTTGATTCTTTTTCATGTTTTGATGCCCTTTCAGAGAACATCTTCTGCAAGTGCAAGAATTTTATTATTCTGTATCATTTGGCACGCTAATACTATTTTCAATGGAAACCCAGCATCCTGTATTTGCAGGATGTAATATAGTACCATTACTGTGAGCAGTCACAGTCACATACACAAGGAATTCAGCGTGTTCAGTTTCTGCAGAACAGCAGGTGGAGATCATACACTGCTTCTGGTATATCATGAAGACTCACAAGCAAATTTTTAGTAGCTTTTAAAAAAAGAAAACGTGAAGGTCATGAACAGATTCCTATCTAAAGATTGCAATAATGACAGCAGGCTGAAAGAGCAATTCAGCACACTGAAGAAAAGACTGACCTGTTAAATTAAATCTAAAGTATTCCAGTTCTTAACTATGTCCCTTTACATTTGAATGCGCACTCACTTGCAAGGAATCTGTTTTAAGCTTTTCTTTGTGCTCTTCAGATGATCGTAACACTTCTCTGTACAGCTCTGCGGCCAATGCGTATTCTCCTGAATTAAAAAAGAATAACAAAGACATGCACATATTGTGTTGGGTCCTAAATATACAAACAGCCACGACTGGCCATCACTTGTTACATACGAAGATGTTTTCAGAGAGGCTGTACAATATGTTTGTCTTCAAGCAAATTTTCCCTACTCATTCCCTCCCCCTCCTAAAAAAACCCCAACCCCTGGCAAAAGACGGAGTATTATATTTTCCAAAGAGTAAAGCAGTTTCCAAATTAAATATCTTTTATGACTGTAAGATCTGTAGACTTCTTGATCTTAAAATATGTAGTCTCAGTTACATAAGTCCAAAAATCTCACGTTGCACTAAAAAAACCCATCGTCTACAACTCACTGCAGTGATGCATTACTAAATCAAATACATTATTCACTCTTCCAGTGAAAACAATAAAAGTTGTGTCATACTTCAGAAATGCAGAAATGATTAAATACATGCAGGAAGCATAACTACTGATGTAAGCTGTTAACATCACAATCACTTCTCAGAAAATAGATTATATAAGTTAAAAAAGAAATACAAAATTGCATATGGAAAAGCAGCATTCTTTTCTCAACTGACAGAAATTTACTTAGCCAGTAAGTCTCAGACTTGGAGAAGTACAGGGACATAAAATGTATAAAGACAGGTAACAGAGTAAAAAATCATCTTCCTACATCTGGAAGCGTAACAACTCTATTTCAACAAGATTTGTTGCTTCTTACATTGAAACAGTTACCAGTTGTAAGGGTATAGCGCTGCAACATACTATTGCCATTACTAGTAACAGGACAAAAGCCATGTGTTGAATTTGCAAGTCCTCAAGGTTGAGACTTGTCAGGCCTCCTTTGAATTCTTCTCGACCTGCCTGCACCTTTTATTTGGGTTAGCTGTGACAGCAATTTCTCTAATGCACTAGCTGTCTACATCTAATTTTTTTTTGGTTTTACTTTTGTTCATCTCTGTGTAGTACAATCACAGCTTTATATAGACAGCAGTAACAAGCAGTTATTCTACGTAGAATGAGATATTTACAACTAACACAATGATGTAGTGTAGAGAAATACAGGCCTAGTAACAATAGCAGAGGCCTTGAAAAGTAAAGATATAGGATGCAGTGTAGAGGAGTATGGCCATGGGATGCTAAGAGATGGCGCACAGGCTTGGCAGTGAATAAGGAAGCCATGGCTATAAACAACTCACCCACAGTCAAAGAAATGCAGACCTACAGCTGGACAAAACTGGTTTTAGGGGCAAAGAACAAAGAAATAGTATGTATCATAAAAGGCATCACATACACTAAATTTGGTGTTAACATGGAGCTGCAGACTAATGAAGAAAGAGAAAGGTGTAAAAGTGTGCTAGCAAACATAAAAATGATCCTAACTGGATCCCTGAGTGAGAAAGAAGAAATCAACACAAACATCTTACTCCTCCTAACAAAGAACTCCAGGTGGTGACAGCTAACTATAGCACTGCCACCACCAGTATGAAACCACTGACCTCAGGACCCAGATGGCAGAAGAAAGGTGAGCATAAAAGCAGGACAAGCAGTAGAAACAAGTAGTGTGATTATTATTGCTTTTTTGCCTGTAACAATTAGATATGGACTAATAACAATTAGACCTGTAAGATTTAAATTATACTAACAATAAAAATTCATGGTTTTACTTATATACAAAGTACGCTTCCTCCTTGCTGATAAAGAAGGCTGAGTGTAACAGTAATGCTAGGGGGGGAAGTTACAGACCAGAACTCTGTCTCAGCCCTGCTTTTGTTTCTCACCAGGTGCAATTTTCACCAACCTGCTCTTCAAAAAGTGCCAAGGTTAATTTTTGCTGCTAGTGTATTTTAAAAGTATTTAATCTGTACAGAAATCTTTTTAAGCACTTAATTCTATCTGAAAAAATTTATATCCATCCTGCAATCATAACGAAGTATTTCAAACCTACTAACTACAGACTAGAGAATCTGAATGTAGTCTTTCTGTAAGGCCAGGAACAGAACAGGCAAGTCTGCTTGTTCTCCTCTTTGAAGGAAGACTTTAACATGAGCTGGAAAAACTCAAGCAGCTTGTCAGCTTTAAAAGACTTGCTACTTGGCAAAGAGGCATTTCTTCCACATTCATGACTAAGTTCACTTATTATTATTTTGTTTAGTGGGACATTCAAGATTAATATAATTATTTTTGTTTTCCATTCAAAGCTCTTTTTCCTCCTGATTCAGACAAAATCTACGTTGACAAGAGCTCTCTAGCAGGCAGCAGCAAACAGATTCCACAGTCAGCATAGCAGTTTGCACAGCAGGGGACACAAAAGAAGCCCAGAAAGCAGTACTGATGATACAAAACCAGGTTAAATACAATTACACAAGTATGACTTCTTTTATCCCAGTACATATAGGTGGTAGAATCAAGAAAGAATATAAAACAAAAAAGCCAGAAATACTCTAAGACATCTCAAAGATGCGACAAACTACCCCTATTCCTTTCTCCCTCAGACAGAATAAATGTTGATTTTTGTTACAAATACTGTTAAATCCTTTCTAGTTTCCCCAGGTTTTATATGGCTTTTTCCCTGAATTCAAAAAGCCACTGTTTAACACCGTATCATCTAAACCATAATTAGCCAAGTAAAAGGTGCCACAGCCATCCTGTCTTACCTTTAATGATGTGGATACCAGCTAAGCCATTAAGAGCACACACCAACTGTCGGTGAGCTTCCTCACACTCCGTTCGACATTTCTTCTGCAGAGACATTAGCAGTTCTTCCATGGTCATGGTGCTGAAATGGAGACCAAATGGCTCAAATTTGAAACAAAACCACAACACTAGCAAACTAAAACTGTAACACTGTGCAGCATGAAAGATTGTTACATGCATCCAACATACTGTGCAAATTTTTAGTTTTATTTACTCATTAAAAAAAAATGTAGTTGTCAGTTTTTCTTCTAGCTAGAGCTTTACCCTAAAGCAGTTTGACATTTCCTAAAAATAGAAAGAAATAAGAAACAAGAGAAAAATTAGAATTAGGTAAAATAATCCTTCATAGGGCAAAATATTTTGCTCCTTCTGTTAGTCGTGAACTGGAAACAAGTGAAATTAAACCTCATTTTGCCAGAAGCTGTTCAGATGAAAACAGCTATGAGAGACTACATTTCTCGCCTCCGCTACCAATCTAAACAAGCAGAACAGATGATGTGTCAAGGTAAGACACAAAAAGTGTGGAATGAGAATAGTGAAGATTAGCTGCTATAATTTTAAACTTCTTTTTCTACATTTGTTTGTAGTATTTGTAATTCTTAAGAGGAATTTAGTCAGAAGAGAGTTAGTTTAACATAAAAATACAGGAAACTGAGAGGTAAGAGGCAGAAGCAAGAACAGAGATGAGAAAGAAGAAAGAAGCATGAAGGATAGCTTGGAGTAAGGCCAAAGGACAAAGAATCCGGGCAGGAAGAAGCCTGATGCGGAGAGAAAGGCGAATAAACTGCAGCAACAGTCTACAAGAGCTGACCTGAGGCTGCTCCTATGACCAATCGCTGCTGTGAGACCAGACACTACTCCCCTCCCTGAAACTCTGCTCCTCAGCCTCATTCATCTTCAGGCGAAGCATGTACTATTTGGTGTTTAGTGCTGCGGAGTACAGTAAGAGGTGGCATAACTCCTGCATGGTCTGGGCCCAAGATAACCTTTCACGTATACCTTCCAAGGTATCCTTCACTAGGCCTTTATTTTACCTTCCTTGAAACACTGTTCCATTTGCAGAAACTGCTCCTTGAGTTTGCACTACAGTCTCACACTAGAGCAGGCTTTAAATCAGTATAATCACTATTTATAATTAGCTGAATTCTGCAGAGGTATTGGCAAATACACATAGCACCTGCTGCTCATACTCTGATGCTTCTACCACTACAACTTCTCTTTCATTTTTCAAGACCACCAGCAGTTTCAAAGAAAATTATAAAAGCAAAAGGATGTACAGATAAAGTATGCAATTTTGTATATAGCCTGAGACTACCAATTAAGACGAAAAGAAGGGGTTTTTTACTCAATGTAACTAGGGAAGCCTAGAAAACTCCCTTTTGAGGGCTATATTTTTGCTGAGGAGATGTTCTCATTTACTGTCTTTACTACACAGGTGGGAAAAAAGGTCATCTAGCATAGAATATGCTCCAAACTCAGCTTCCTTGTTTATGGCCAGTTTCTCTTATCCATATGCTCCAGCATCAACTTTCTTGTTCCAGTAAATTTCTCTTCTTCATCAAAGTTCTTAGGACTGAATTTCTTCATTATTCTCATATATATAAACAAAGCCAGGAGCCAAATCTTCTCTCTATTCTGGGAATGTCCACTGATGCAGTCAAGCTTGGTTCACAAAAAAAGACATGTGAATAGTGCTGGGAAACAACTTTTCTTTGTACATATGATTTTAAGAAAGATTTAGTTTTTTCATTGCTAGTTTTTCCACCACAGTTACCATACAGCTGTCACTCCACAAGCATTCCACCAAAATCAACACAGTACTAAGATGTCCCCAGCACCTTAGTACCCCATCAATTTGTAATCCACTAGCTCATTTTAATGCAAGTTATCTTGTATGGGCTGGTGGGAATATTGATTTCTCCGATGTTTGAGTCCTTGCCTCCACACTAGCAGACCGTTAGACAGAAAGTGCACAGTGCCTACAACTGGTCCCTGCTGAAATAGGTGCAAAGTCAGTTACAGCTGCTTAGGCGCTGTAGGTGGCCTGTATGAGAAAGGGGAAGAAGTAGGACACAAAACTTCATAAAACAATAGAAAGAAACTGAAAAGAATGGAAGAACAAGAGCAGGAAATGGTAGAAATAACACTGGCAGTGTTAAAAGTTTTAAGTTCTTCCCTACCTGTAGCTTAAAAATGAAACAACACAGACAGTGCTCAGAGCCTGGAACAGAAACAGCCCATTCTTTCACAACCCCCCTCTGACTGAAAAAGTAGCAGCTACATTTCATAAAGAGCACTAGCAACATGCTTTTGGTCTAAGGCTGAGACCAAACTGCTGGGCACTTGTGTGGAAGATGATCCTGAAAGCATGCAGGGAAAAAAAAAAAAAAACAAAAAAAAAACAAAAAAAAACCACACCACACACACAGAAAAAAAGGAAAAAGCATTTGAACAGCTTTCAAGTTTGGATCTGTAGTTACATATTCTGCACCTTATATGAACAATATTTTCTTTGAATTAAAGAATTATTCTGTTCTGTTTATTCATTTTGTTCATTGTTCTTATTTATGAACATGAGTTTTATAAGAGACAGAAAATCAGTGGACTTATTTAAAACTGAAAAAGAATCTGGGTTTGTTTCACACACAGTCCACCACCTGCAACACCCTAGTGTCCATCAGCATCGTAAGCGTTACTGCACAAACAACTGCCTTTCAGTGCTATGTTCTTTAATACAAGAATTACACTAACTACCCCACTGCATCCTATTCAACTTCTGAGGTCAGATAGCTTGGTGTGCCATAATTGCACATTTAACTAAAGAAGCTTAAAATTAGGCTTGTTCAAGAACTGTACAAGATCTTGCACCGTTATGAACAATCAGAGTTTTGCTTTGGATAAAGCAAGCCATTTAAGAAGTGACAGAAATTCACCTTTTCTGTAATGGCAAGAACTCTCCCCGAACAGCTTGTGGATGACAGCACGCCTGCCTCAGCCGCAGCAAAGGGTACAGAATAGAAGTCACAGTCCTTCTATCTAGGCTACTAAGCTTAAGAGTCCAGTCTGAAATCTTCCTGAGTTTTGCCAATGCATCCTGGCAGCACACCTCGTGCTGGCGATGATAGAAGTGTCTCTCCACAGGAGAAAAGTGAAGCCAGTGTACATTTTCTGTCTGAGGGGGGATTTGAATCTGCAGTTAAAAAAAGAAAAGTAGTAATTTGAAAATAAAGCTATTGATAAATGTTGTTCAGGAATTTTAAAATCCAAAACTCTTACTTACTTGGTCAATCACATCCTTCTTTGCCGATCTCCACATTATCTTGGCAATTAGACTGTAGAGAGGCCGGGGATTTTTCCTACAATAAGGTCGATATAAAAGTTGGTCCCACCAACGTTTGACCCAGTAAGGATCAACTCCAAGAAAAAGGACTAATCCATACAGATCTGCCAAGAAAAGAAAGTGGTTTAGTACAATGTTTTAATACTTCACAATATGCCTCCAAAAAAATTAACTTCCATACAAAGGTTACCAGGCATAAAGCAACTACATTCTGGCCATTATCTTTTCCACTCTTTTTCTAGTCATTCCCTCACCAAAATAGCTAATTTGAGGCAGGGGACCAGATGGGGGAAGGCAGGGGTTCTCTCCTTCAACTAGTTACTGATTTTCACAGAACTTGATGGAATATAACTATTTGTGAGACCCTGTCCTAATTTCAAGTTTAGCAGAACAGAGCAATGAATTTAAACCTATTCAGAGTAGAGGTGAGAGGCACAAATTACACAATTGCATATGGTTATTGGGGTTTGCCAGCTTTTTCTAAAACAATATTGCTCAGTATCATTACGTCACAGCCTGCTGTGCACCAACTGTCTATTGCCCACCATCCCAAGAGGGGCCACAATTCAGAAGACTTTCACTTTTCTACTAAGGCATAAGAAATTAACAAAACACTTTTATTGTTTTCTTACTAATCGAGAGAACACAGCTTGCTAGTTCTGCCCAACTCAGAAACCCATCATTCTGGGGGATGAAATTTAAGGGCATACTGCCTTGAAGCTTGTATGTAAATCTCACTGGAAAAATACAGAAGCATACATTTAAATGTTGCATGTGGATAATGCAGAAATAGAAATATATGATGGTATCTTACAGATAGTTCTTAAAGAATGTAGTTCTTTATTCTGTTAGCTTTACGGTAATTTTGGTATTCAGCTGAGCGCCATAAGACATTCACCAAATACATCATAGACCAGGGGAAGAAAAATCCTGGGAATCATTTCTATGCAGGAAGCAACTGTTTACCCAGAGGTCCTATCCCACTTTATTATAGCAGCAGCAGCACAGATTTAAATTAGTCAGCTGTTTTCATCCCCTATGCAATGCGGGCTGCCTCAGTATAGCCCGAGTGCCTGGTCAACACGTATTATGGACAGTATGACATTTCAGATATGTATTAAATCAACACTATCACACATAAGGACTTGAACAAGTTAATCATGGCAGTCAAATCAATTGCTTCCTTCTATAGTGTTCACTTTATTAACTATGTATTCTCACAACTATTGTGTGTATTTATAAATTTAATCCACAATTCCATTAAGAATTAATATACAATGTTGACTTTTATAATAGTTTGGTATCTGAGCAATAGTTCACAAATGCACACAAACGCTCACACTGATTTATCCACTTTGAAACTCATTGCCTCAGTGTGTACCACATTATTCCTAAATTCATCAAAGTACACGGAGATAAAAAAGTGGGTCAGTTCCCTTTCTTTTTTTCTCTCTCTCTCTCTGAAGCCTGTCTACAGAAACCAAGTACCTCACAAAAAAAGACAAGATAAATGACACCTGCCAACATGCAGCTCCCTACTCCACACATCTCAATTCATTAAGTCTTTACATAAGGCCTTAAGACAGTTTCATAAAGCTTTAGTATGATTTTTAGAATTTATATTCATGGCAGTTGATGCCCACAGTAGTTCATATAGGGCTATGCAAAAAGCAAATACAGCTTTGCTTGCTGTATTTGACAGTTAGAAGGATTTTGTAACCAGAGCAGACTATCTTTAGCTGCAATAGAGAAGGGTTAACATTTACCCACTCTGCTAAGTGAAGGATGGACTTGAGTCAGCTGTTCGACATACAACTTCTCTGCTCCCCAAAGTATTCATCTAACTCGGGGAGATAAAAAGATTTCAGCTCTGCAATTCTTACACTGCTACATTTATTGATGGCTTTATTACATGCTTAAGGTTTATGGCTTACCAAGTCAGAGTACCTAATGAATTCAGAGCAAAACTTGCAGACATTTTAACTGCTTCAAGCCACTACCTAATTATCAGCACAAGGAAAACCCACAGATGACACTGCTACATAAAAATCTTACCTTCTAATCCACGCTGCACAGGAGTGCCACTGACACACCAGCGATTGATTCCACTTAACCGGAGTGCCATTTCAGCAGCCTAGCAAAAGAAGATAGAACCAATGGTAGGAGAGGAAAAACCAGGACAGAGCGGAACACAGTCTGAGAACACGTGGACCTTATTTTTAAGAAATCTGAACGTCTTTTCAGTATGTAAGATCAGCAGACCTATAAGCAGCACTGGTACAATATCTTATAAAAATGTGTATAAAGTCATTGAGCTTTTTTTGAAGGTAACTGAAAGCCAATAAAAGCCATATCCACTTCCAAGTAATCAAATGCAATTAAGACTTCACACAAGGTAAACAGTTGGCAAAAGAAACTGTAAAAAAAACCACACAAAAAATAAAGCCCATAAGCCATTACGTAAGCAGCATTTTTGTCTTCCTGTCTTGGGCAAAAAGACTGGACAAATACTAATTAAAATAATCTCCCTCCGTAGACTGCAGCCCTAGAGTTTGCAGACAGACTGCTGACTATTTTAGCTTCTAGACCCAAAGGACATATTCATGCCTCTGAACCATGTCACTGAACAGGCTAGTGTCTTGTTTGAAACTATCAAACACCATATACAACATGATGACCTAGTTTTTTAAACTGTCAGTATAGATTATGTTAAGTATTTTCTGAGCTGGATATACTTCACAGTCTGCCAAAATTCCAACAGGACAACCATTTAATAGTAACTCACTCCAACAGAAAATTTACTTCTAAAGAACAAGCTACAAGGACAAATTACCTGAGTGCACTGAATGTTAAGAGGGGGAGAGGGAAGTCTATTGCATTATTTACAATAAGCTTGTCAAAACCTTTTCAAGTTAAATAAATGCATTACCAGGAATGTCATACCTTTGCAGTAGTGCATTCAACCATTTGTGCTTCATCAAGGCAGATCCTCCACCACTCCACTGCTACTAAGGGGCTTGGGATGGCCATGTACCGCTTCTGGTTCCTGAAACGGCGCCCATCTTCGCTGTTACTGTGGGGTATATCTACATAGTTCAGTTCAGTGCGGAGGACATCATATGTAGTAATAACCACCTCCTGCTCTGCCAACATGTGTGGCTGCAAAAAGCCATGCTTCTTCACACCTTGATACACCTACATAGATTTGCATTCAATAGCACAATAGCAAAGAATAAAGGTAAGAGACACTTTAATAAAAATGCTAAAGTACCAGTACAGCTTAATACGCGCATGCTTTTAGCAGTGTTGCTCATATAATATGAAACCATTCATAAAACCTGTATTCAATACAGTAGCACGGTGGGAAAACCATGTAACTAACACTGATAATAAAGTCAATACAGGCATTGATGCAAAATTTTTATGTGATTACTTGTATCTTCACAAAACTTTTTTTTTTTTCCTCCTTCGAAGAAAAAGAGGACTTCAGTATTTTCTACAACAGTTATTTATTGCAACAGTTGTTTGCAAGATTAAGAATTCTATAATGTTGTATGGAGCAACATTATGTAAGTCAGTGTTACATGTCTGGTCCTCTCCTTTACCATAGAGGTATTACCTTTCTCCCCATTGCCCCAAAAATGTTCTGGATGATTAGGCAAAGACAGAAGCATGCAGCAAAATATTTAAAAAACAGAAATTATGCTCTGGAGAATGTTTTATCTAGAAAAAGGATTTCTACAGAGACTCATGAGATAGAAAGAATATGCTAGTAAGAAACAATCCCTGTGCACCAACAGAATATTATTAGAAGCCTTTCATATTGACATTGATTCTACTATCAGAAGTATTTTTCTTCTCTCTCGTCATTTTTAGCATAATCCTTTCAGAAACACACAGCAGTTTAAATAAAGAAAATTAACAAGCTAAACCAAAGATTTTACTGTATGCTTCCCCACGGTAGCATTCTATATCTAAAGAAAATAAACACAGCACATATGAGCCCCAATATACTTACAATACCAAACATGTTAAGATTTCAAATAATATGTGGTACAGTACACAATCAAAATATATTTTTGGAATAGGAGTGTTTTTTCATCTCCAGGACTTTTAGCTACTAAGAACAGTTATTACCAGAGCTATATATCCATCACCTTTTTTTCCTTCTCATTCAAACTTTTTCTCTTGCTCTCAATTTACCTCAGAAATCTACGTCAAAATTACAGGCATCCATTGCTTAATTTAAGAATTTTATTACCAGCTACTTCTTATCACTCATCTAGATCTATATATTAATCACAATATTAAAACAGATAAGGCTTTCTTCTGACAGATACAGGAATATCCCTACCTTTTTTAGAAAGAATCTATATTCTAATCTCAACTTCAAATAGTTGAGCATCTTTCTATTCGTCTCTCATTCCCTGAACTCATGATTTATTATACAAGAACGGACCATCTTGGTTAGTGTTTATCTGCAACTACCTACAAACGCTTTTACCACTTAATAAACTGCACCATCTTTCAGTCCCTCATAGTTTCAGAAACTTTAATGTTCTCTTGATTCACGCAACTAATAGTTAAAAATACCAAAATTAAGATGAGCCTGTAAAACGTTAGTTGATTTCCCCCCCTTTACCCCTTGATGATCCGCACACAATTTCACTGTTAATTTCACCGTTAACTACTTTTTCTTCCAGTAATAATCTGCCTCTACATTTGTGCATATAGCAACAGTGTTTCTGTGAACTGAAAGAAACACTCGCAGAATATTTCTCTTCAGCCCCAGAGTGTGACAACAGAGCACATGCAAACAGGTCAATGCACATGAATGAAGGTGGGGTGGGGGGGAAGGGGAAGGCCAGAAAAGAAAAAAAAGAAAAGGCATGCTCCCTGAAGCAACTGTTAAGAAGAAAAAAAAAAAAGATAGCTGTCAAAGTCTAATGATCTCTTCTAAGTATTTATGAACAGATTTTCCGGAGGTTTATAACTTGGCCAAGTTTTGGTTGATTTCACAGCAGCAGGAAAAGACAACCTGCCACAAAGCAAGACCTACTGATAAATTTTAATTTCTTGTTCTATTACATAAAACCATTAGAATTTCCCATGGGTTATAAGCAGTTGGAAGAATAAAAACCATCGTTCACACGCAATGCAAAACCTGTTAACATGTGAAAATGGTTCTTTGAAACATCTGCACTATTTTTGTTTTAACTTTACAGAAAAAAAAATCCAACAAATTTTAATTTTGAAGCAACACTGAAAGCAAGACTGGATGACTTACAGTTGGCAGTTAAAAGAAAATGAAAACAACGTGTTGGAATGGAAGGTGTCACACAGCTTAAAGTACTGACATTCAGTATTTAAGCTATTTTACTGTTACCATGTAAATCTATTTCTGACAGTTTTCATCAGAACTGGTATAAAACTTGGACTGGGTCCTGCAAAAGCTGTGCAAGTTTTACACATTTGTTAGTTGCTGCACTAAAGCTAATTAGACTGCTCACGCAAATGGCTTACTGGAGGCCTAGAATCCATTTATACATTGGGCATCTATGCAGGAGAGCTAAAGGTATCAGACATATCCCTCAGCACAAGGCTTCCCCTCTATCAATCTACTACTACTGTTATATTCAAAATATAAGGAATCTGTGGTTCTCACATCACTTTATCATTAAAGTTTCTTGCCTACTAAAAATACACAGGACAAAATTTGACTGCATCATTAATAAAAGACAATGGCTACCCTTGAATACAGTGATAACTATATTAAAAAAAATTCTGTATAGCCATAGTTACCATATGTATAATTAGGTTTATTTTAGTGATAGAGCTACTAGAAATCAAGTAAAAGGACAATACATGATGTCCAGATAAGCAACATCCTAATACATATGGCAGACGTTATAAAGACAATGCCCAAGTTTTCTCAGTAAACAAGGCCCAAGACTTCTTCTATAAAGCCTGAGAACCAGAAATTCAAAAGTACACTCTTTACCTACTGAAACACTGTTTTTACCTAGAACAAAATGAGAAGCAACCGTCAGAGGTTAGCTTAGGTGCTAACATACAGTGAGACGACACTGTCAAGACACCTGTAGTTAGGCCTTTCTAAGTTCCTTGGTAAGCTTTCAGAAAAAACCAACCAAACAAAAAAAACCAAAACCACAAACAGCTTCCCCTCTCAGAAATCACCTGTTGCTGCAACTGCTCAAAATTTGCTTCCATTTGATAAAGATATCTAGTCCACTGTATCATCTCCCAGTGATCAACTAAGAAGGAAAAAATGAAGACAGTCTTTCTGGGACACCAATGCACCGTGTGATGCCAAAGCATAAGTCTAATAGCAAGAAATGTAGAATTCTGACACAGGGAACAAAAACCTCTGAACTTTATGTGATAGACAGGAAGCCCCAAGCCTTGATAAAATAACCCTCCAGAATATGAAGCTATACAGTCTTACCAGAACTCGAAGAGAAGATGATCTCACATGCCTATTGATCTCATCTACCCACTGATGACAAATAGAACTCGGAGAAATTATCAGAGTTGCTCCTGTGGAAACTGGTTTCATTGCCACAAGGCAATGGGGACAGTAGAAGGGCTTGATCTTCAGGTTTTCCTCTTTGTAGTTTACACATTCTGCATGCTGCCATAAGTAACATTTCAGGCACTGCACACGAGCTTTATAGTCAGCCAGTCCAAGCTCACCACAGATGCATTCAAAACGATATTCAGAGGTATTAAATGGAAATACAGAACTGGTATGTTGTATGCTACTGCCAGCACGTTCTTGGGAATGTGAGGACTGGTCCTTTGGGGTTTCCTGCTGGACATCAGCCGTAGTTTTAGAAACATCAAGATCAGGATTACTGCTCATGTCACTGGAGACAAGGAGGCTGCCATGCAAATTTTTTTACAGAGTTCTCCTGATCTGCTTCAGATTTCCTGTTGTTTTTGCTAGTTGTACAATAATCATGTTCTTCCATGGTGATATCCACCCGTAAAGGGGTTTTAAGAACATTTTCGGAAATGACATCACTATTTCTTGATTCTTTGGTTTTAGTTTTAGCATCAGTCAACTGCTTCTTCTGAATGCTTTCTGAAGTCCTTGCTATCTACAAAGTAAAATTAATCAAGAATGTCAGACTTTCTCCTCACTTTTTTTTTTTTGAACGTATAAACACATCAAGATATAGATAATAAGATTTTATATCAATTTCCAGTTTAAGGATTTGGTTAGTGTTTACCAGTGTTTAAAAAACAACTTCACAGTAAGAACAATATACCTGCCAGCCCCCACAGCACTATCTTAAAAGATTTACGACAGATATAGTTAATATTTTAGCCCCAAATTTGATCTACTTATGATTTCTGCTTCTTGCTTTATGAATGTCAAAGCAAATGCTGCAGTTTTCTTCATTTTTATCAATAAGCCAGTGTCACTGAACTAGTGCACACAGTCAATATGGCCAAGAGTAGCATGCAATTGGTAGAAATAAGACCTGCCTTTGCAACAGTCTTTGAAGTATGGCAGCATGTTTTACCTGCTCTTTGGTCCTTTCTCGCCTCTTCTGTTCCTTGTAATTCTTTCCCAGCTTGAAAGACCCAGCCAGACCATGTCCTTTGACTTGCTCTACTACTTGTTCTGCAATTAGTTTTTCTAGAGTTCTTTTGAGAAGTCGTCTATTTCTCTGTATGTCATACCTATATATAGCACTGATGTATTTAAATATTGCAATAATGGATGCTCCTTTCTTCACATTCATTTCCTTTACAGCTGCTAATATCATCACTCGTAAGCCTATATGTAGAATCAAAGCAAAAAAAAGCCTTACAGCTCAGAAAAAAGAAATCTACCTCAGAAGATGCATATTAAAGAAACTCTAAACACAGCACTTATCTAAAAAAATGCAAGGCAAACACAGACCGCAGTTTTGACAGTGCTTTACCTGAGGTAGCCCTACAAATCACTGTTTTTCACGACTCTAAGGCAATATCGAATAGCAATAGAAATCAGTCATCCAATTTTCTTACTGAAGTTTATAAAAAGACAGTGTATTTCAGTTAAACACACAAACTCTCTTACAGTGACCTTTAGCTACTGGAGCTCTGTAGCACAGAGATCTGAGTTGGTAACTTTACTTTTAACTGTGGATCACTTGTTTGTAGCATGCAATCCTACATCATGGTGCCCAGCAAAAGAATCATTTCATTCTGCAGAAGTGAAGGGTAGCATTGAACTCCTAGTCAGCGGCCGATATAAGATATACGTCAAAAGCAAAATGTATTTTAAAAGTCATCAGTAATACTTACTGGGATATTGTATTTTTTCCTTCAATTTAAGCTCCATTTCCTTTGTTTTTTTCTTTTTATTTCCTTCTAAAGGTTGAGGTGGAACAAAGAAGTTCACAAGCTTACCCTAATGCAGACAACATTAAATAGTTATTAGTTCATGTCTCTTCACAGTAATTCATTAATCTTTTCACATTTGAAAATAAGCATGAGCTGCTACCGCCATGCACTCTTATCTCACTAATTTGCTCAGATAGCTCATTTTTAGTGTACAGAGCAAGACCCCATTCAGTTCAGTTTCTTGGCAAACACTATTCAGCACCCTACACTGAGAACAGAAAGAACAGCCCTCCAAGCCACTTTGGTCCTCCACTACTTCAGAATGAAGTTGCAGGAATCTATAAGTGATCTAGGTTACCGATGGGGGGAAGAAAATACATATTTAACATACAGCTAGAAACACAGAAGGAGGTAAGCAATATAGATTGAAAAGCCCTAGTTAATTGTATAACAAGTTAAGTTTCTCTTTTTAGTGATTGCCCCCTCCCCCCCCCCCGATTTACTCTATGATTAGTGATTCAGAAATAGTGATTTAATTAAGGAGATGGATACTCAAGAACCAGGACATAAAAGAGAATCACAAAGCTGGAACAAATGCAGTGCCAAAATTTCTATCATTAATTGTTTTATAGCTGTATTCATCGATACTTTGCCCTGTCTGATTGGTTGTTTTGCAGAGTTCTTAAATGGTAACTGCAGTGAAACTCCAGACACTGTTTGAGCCCTACAATGAGTTGAAGTACTTGGAGTAACTCTAGTATTGGCTTACACAAGCCAGGAGTCATCCAGAAAGTCTCTTTTGGAATACAGCAGGTTTGGTTTTTCTTCAGGACATCATACAAAGATGTTTTATGCCTGAAGACAAGAAAAATGCAGATGACAAGGGCCCTTGTAGATGACTGGAATAGTGCCTTTTAACCAGAGGCAATGTCATATAATTCTGTTCATAAAGACCCCAAAATATTAGATGTCTGTCGCAACTATTCATTATCATGGAACAGTTTCATAACTCCAGCTCTCCAAAAGCTATGGTCTCTAGCTATTGTTGCCAGTTGATATCCAGATGCTTTAGTGCTGATACTCCCCTCTTCACACTCCTCAGTGCTCACCTTCTGGTACATTTAAGAAGAATCTTATTCCCTGAGAACGGTGTCTTTTTAACTGATAAAATTACAAGCAGGCAGGAGATCATTATGATTAGATGTACAATGAAACTGGCTGCCATGAACTCAAAAGGATGGAACCCACGAAAATGGTAAGAGTTTACTTAAGGATAAAGGCTCTCTCCCTTCAGAGAAAGTTTTTGGTGTTAGTGAACAAGCTAAGTTTTCACAGTGAAAAGATGGAAAACTTGTTAAATAAGCCCATTTATTATATGAAATAGAGGGGGAGCAGAAATTTTTATTCACCGGGTTTAAATCAACCCTATTTTAGCACAGAACATACGTCTAACGGATATTTAATACTCATCAATACAATGCAGTAAAGGGGAGAATGATTTCCAACATAGCAGACTAAGTTACATGTTTATACACTCCTGGAGTGCATGTAAACTACCAACAGCACAGTTGCCTGCTAACACCCTTCAACAATGGCAAACTCTCAATTCCTTCTCATGAAAACTATTCCACTATTTATGCTGCCAAGTATCACATCCTACAAAGCAAAAACTTTCACTGTACTTTAATCCAGCTTTAAATCTGGACTTCTATAAAACAGAAAGCGATAAATTCAAGAGAAGTGCATTTCCATTAATAAGAAAAGTATTTTCTTCATACTAAATCTTATCCTGATTTTCTTACCTCAGGTAACGTCAGATCATCTTGTTTAATGTCTGGTCGGGTATGAGTCAGAATAAGAGCCAACACTTCTACTGTTTTTCCAAGACCCATCTCATCTGCCAAAATACCTCCAGGCCACTGGGGTCCAGCAATTGGATATTCACGGATAATACTAAAATTCAAGTATATTCCCAAACGGAAGTTAGTAACTATAGAATGGTGCAACAGAGAAGGATGTGTTCAGGGACACATACAGAATAGCTTCAGCAAGTCAAAGTTCGTAAATTGAGGCAGTATCTTTTATTAGATGAGCTGAGATTGAAAAAAGCAAGAAAGCTTTTTGGCTGACCAAGAATACATATGCCAGAAGTTTTTTGATTTTTTTTTTTCCCCTCCTAACAGGCCTTGCCTCGCTAATCTTAGCATTTCATAATATTAGTCTCCAAAAAATTGGAATATATTTATAACCACGTGTATTAAAGAACTCAAACTTATACAGGGAAAAGAAAAAGCAAACTAGCAATCAAAAGATTCTATTCTAACCAAATTAATGAGAAAAGTGAAACAGAACTAGTAATACAATACCCAGCATGCATAAGAAGCATTATACTGTCTCCTTCCTTTAGATTTTAAAAACATTGGACCAGAAGGTCAAAGCCTCCAATTCTCCAATTTAAAAAAAAAAAGTTAGCCTTAAAACCACAAATTTGCATTGACATTAAAAAAAAAAAAACCAACACCTTTAAGAATTATGTCTTCAATTCAAGATTTACATATTTGCCTGTGCATTATATAATCCAGTTTGCCCTTTTTTTTCCCCCCAAATTAAAGATACCACTGTTCTAATTCTTTAGTTGCTAACTGAAAAATGACAGTTATGGATTATTTTATATACTCCAGGTAAAAGCTGCCAACAAGGTTTTCACAAAGTACAACCTTGAGGTGTTCTCAGAAAGAGGTAACTATAAAAACATACCAGCCAGTAAATGGATTATAGTAGATTTTTACTCCATCCAGAGTGATGACCTCCCGCCATAAGAAGTGCAGTGCATTTTCTACAGAGAAAGAGTTCATGTTATTATTATTATGAGGTTTTTCTATAAACAGCACACTGCTTAGAACTGCTCAGCCTTATTGTGACATTTAGAGACAAAAAGCAGACTTCTACCTCCACAGCACTTCATGACCAGTAAGACACATCAACTGCTGTTCAGCAAAGTTTAGTTTATCATTTAGTGTACTAACCAAACAACTTATAAGAATAGTAATGAAATAATTAACAGAGCTTCTAATCAAACAGCAAGAAAACATTACTGCTGACAATACAATGCCACTTTCCTCAGTTATGCAAGTTTTCCAGACCCATATACTTGCCACTGCTTGGAGCGCTTGTGAGGTTCTCTCGGTGAAGCATCCAGTTCACAGCCTCACTTTGGTATGGCCTCAGAATAGGAATTAATGCAGGATGCTGCACATCCTCTCTCAGTAACTGGATATCCTGCTGATGGGTGTGCCTTACAAAGTCATAAAGCTCTTCAATATTTTGTCGCTCCAATTCCATGTCAGATTCTTCCTCATCTTCCTCCAGTTCATCTGCATATACCAAATAATTCAAGACACGCATTATCAATCAACTTTGGTCAACACTGCAGTAAACTTTGCTGCAACATATTTAATTAACATGTGAAAGCAAGCAAAGCAAAAAATCTCAAATTAAAAACATCGGTACCAATAAACCAGCTGTACAACTACAGTTCAAAGAAAGATACTAGCCCTAACTAGTACTGGAGATAAAGCCACCTTGCAGAATTTTTCTCAAAAAAAAAAAGTTAGAAGCAAGTCAAGGCCAACATTTTCAGCACAAAGTGACTGTAAAGTGAATTTAAAAGTACAATATACTGATAGAAAGAGAAAACAGCTAATGGTAGGCACAATTAAATCAAATTGTAATTACGATGCCTCCTGCTAACAAAGAAGAGATGTACCTGGCACAAACACCAGACAGCTTAATCTTAAAATAAGGTTTGGGGGCAGCTATTAGGACTTTCTTTAACGGAAGGAGAAAGCTTTCTTTCATTCAAATGGATGGTTAAAGTGAAGAACGGTTTCCAAAACAGGAAACAGCAGGACATTATGTGCCCATGTATGGCAGCCACCAGTGCCCTCCCCTAATCCTTTTAGGTCAATGGAATAATTCCAGCACTTTACAAGGGAGAAGAGAATTCTGGAAGACATTAAGTTTCTATAAATTCATGGAAACTGTATATATAAAGACTTGTAACGTAAAGAAGGCAACCAGAATGCGCAAGTGGGGTTACTAATGTTCCAGCCAAACGAAAAGCACCAAGCAGAGCATGCAGCTGTATATACTATAGAAACCATTCCAAGGGATCCTCTCACAACACATTCCTCGCTTCATGAAAAGAACAGAGAAATTGGAGTGATTGCAGAGTATAACTTTGATCAATGAAGTTGATCTATAATGACACCTATCATCATACTTGCTAAAATAACAGTTTTTAAGTCTCACATTTCAGACCATAATAAATTGACTTCTATATAAACTAATTCTGTCCATCATTTTACAGGGGACTACAATATACTTTAAAGTAAAATGTTTCTTCATACAACTGGATATGTTTTATCTCTTCAGTGACAGAAAGCAGCTAGCTGGATCCAAAAGTGATCTAAGCCTGTGTGTTCACTGAAGCGACACGAAGTAACATGTAGTATTATATGGCAGATACAGGACACAAACTATTATAAAACCAGCAAAAGTATCTGTAAACAAATTTCTCAAAAAAAGTTGTTAACTCTACAATTACTGTCCAAAACTCAGGAAGCTTCTGCATATTAAATATTTTGTCACTTTTTTGCAATTCATTAATGCATCTATCCTATGCTCGCCATAACTTGAGATTAAATTCCTGCCACAAAGTCTCAAAACCATCTAGAAGGACATTAACGGGACGAGTACACTAAGGAAAACAAATATATAAAAATTAGATGAGATCAAGAAGTCATGCCCCTATTTGTGTAAATCCTTGTGCACAACTCCATCAACAGAAGAATTTGCTCATCAATGGGGAGAACAAGAAGCCTCACCTTGGAACGCTGTTGCACAGAGTTCATTTTAGATTGATACTGACAAGTGTTAAAATACGTACTTGCAGTTTTACAAAAATTTCAATTAATTCTGTTTAAAAACAGGCAAAATTCAAATACAGACTAAGTTGTCAGAAATGGAAATCAATTTATACTTCTTAGGAGGAATGTATTCATCAGCGTAGAATCAAGGGTATATTATTTCATGCTACATCAAAAAGTACATGCTTAAAAACTGTTAGAAACTGTAACTGGTTTCACAGTGTGTAGCTGCCTGGGTCTTCCCTCCCAAAGCTTTTCCATTTCTGTGGCATGCTTTATTTCTGAATTCGGAGCATAGCATAATGGACACTATGGATTTATATAGTGGTTTAATGATCCTGGTTTGTTCTCTAATACTTTCAGGACAATTCTTTATGGTTTGACTGACACTGAACACTAAGTTGATGCATTCACTGAGCTATACACCTACCTACTGAACTACAACCCTACTTGCAACACTTAGCAAAGAGGCCATCATTTTTTTTCTAATGTGAAGCAAGGATTTTTTTTTCCTTCTGCATCGCTTTATATTTATCTATATTGAATTTATACTAAATCTCTATTGCCTAGCCTGCCTGCAAGCTTTCATCTGTTCTTCACCTCTATTATACTGAGTACTACATTTGAAGTTTGTTGATGATACCACCTCACCAATTACTGTATTTTGCAAAGCATTATGAATGCATTAAGCTGCACATGCCTTTGTAGGACGTGACTGGTGATCTTCGTACAAGTTAACAACCGTTTATTTCTGTTTTCCACACCCTCTATTTTATTTATTCATTTATATGGCATTTATTGGCACAGAATCAAGACTACATTATTATTTTATGCCACATCAAAACATACACACTAAAAAACGGTCAGAAAATTTACCAGCTGGCAACACAGGCCCTTTTTGAACCTGAGCTGGTTGCACTCAACCATATAGACATAAAAATCTATCCTTTAGTATACTGAGGACAAATGTACAAAGTTCCAGCAGAAAATTATTTTGGATCTCAAAATAGGTCACTGTTCATTTTGTCCATAAACAAACTCTTCTCCCCAACTTTTCCACAATGAGAAGATATGCAGAGAAGAAAGCTGTGCTTCCTGCTAAAGCATTACTTTATTTAAGCACTCTTTTATATGCCTTAGTCATCTCCACTCTATGAATTCTCTGGCAGGTATTCTGCTTCTAATGCATTCATGATAATGTATTTGTCCTAATGCATTTAAAAACACTACTACTCATTTCTGCATCTTAAACTATTTATTCTTCAGACTTCTTTTTGGACCTGCTTTATTGTGCTTTAAAACCTAAACTGACAAATTTGCTTCAGTCAGATTACTTCAGTGTTTTGAAAGATGACTTCTTATGTGCAATATCTTCCCTTCACCACATGGTCAGTTATATTGGCCCTTCTCTTGGTCTATCTCAAGTCTTTTCTGACAGTTGCATGTTTGTGCTTTGCAGCAGGCACAAATGTAGATTTTATTGTTAACTGTTCCTTTTAGCTTCTCTTTAGCAAGTTGCCTAATTTTTTACACAATTCGGCTGTTTGAAATTAAGTACAGTTATACAGCCGGTGCTAGGCCTCTGTTGCTTCTGCAAAAACACTGAAACTCAGTACATATGGTCATTGTTATTGAGTCAGCCCTCAGCTAACATTTTGAATCCATCCTACACTCAGCAACAAGAGCAAGGTGGTTTTGTTTTTTGTTTGTTGGTTTTTTTGGTTTTTTTTTTTTTTTTTTTAAAAAGAGTTTCCTAAGCCACCACACCATAAAGTGGCCATTGATCACCCTAAAAATCACTACTACCACTACTGAGTATAATCTGGCAAACATATCTTCAATTCCAAAATGATGACAAGGCCCATATTTGTAGACCTGCAGTTATTCTCAAAACCATCATGAAGGAGCATTTTGTAGCAGTTTACACTATAATACAATATACAATATAAACCAAACAGAAATTCTGTTGCCACAGTTGCGTGTTAGGCATCACACTAGGAACAAAAGCTTTACAAATTTAATTCCTGGTTCTTTTAAACAGTTCCTGTATAACTTGGACAAGCTACTGTAGATCTGTTCAAACAATCCACCTGAATCGGTGAAAGTTGTATTTACTCCCTAAAAAGGTAAGGACTCAAACTTCTACATGCCCCAGTGCCTTATCTGTACAGAAGGAATATTATCACCTGTAATTTGCCCATAAACTAATTAGCACGTGACTAATGGTCAGATAATAACATGGAGAGAATTACCTTGAAAATGAAGTTGCTCTACATGGCAGGAATAGCTATTTTTCCTTACAGCTAAAGCTACTAAAAAAAGACACACTTTAGTAACAAAAATTATTCATCAACATTTTAATTAATTGCATTACCTGGAATTAAAAAACTATAGAACTTTTCCATGAGTTTCTGAATCAGCTGATTAGCTTTTTTGGGTCTTCCACCTCCATCACTGAGAAACTCTGGTTTACTTAGCCCAGCTTCCAGAAGGTAAATTCCAACCTGCGAAATGGTTACACAGTTAATCATTTAATTAACTGTTAGAATGACAAGAATATTATAAACAGAAGAGTATGAAAATAACAACAGTGCTTTGAAAATTTGCAGGTGTAGACAGAACAAATACATGAACCCATACCTTTAAAGCTTGAGTCTCTCCAGGTCTTTGATAAAGTCCAATTATCTTTTTCTTTTGCAACCATCTCAAGCCTTCTAATATTTCACCACCTAAAGTTGATTCCACCAAAATACGTTGCTCATAAGCACCCAGGTATTCTTTTGTTTCATTGCTGTACTCTTCTTCACTTCTTTCATGAACACAGACCTGCAGATGATCATCAGTCTCTCCTCTCATCAAAGTAAAGCTCCTTTCATGGAATTTGTCAGTTAGAATTTGCTCAGAAGGAAGATGAAGAGCAAATTCTCCCAACAAAACTTTCCAGGACCCACCTGCACGGTATGGCAAGACTATAATATTTAGCTGTACTGACACAGGAGTCAAGATGGAATAAGAGTCGTCTTCATCGTTAACTGTTAAGAACTTAACTGATTTTGAGCCACTGCCTTTTTGAATGAGATCTTCATCAGTGCTATCATCATTTATAACAATGAAAGATGCAGAAGAAGTGCTTGGACCTGGAACACTGTCCTCATTAGTCATTTCATCATCTAATGTTATCACCTCATTCCTCCGGTCTTCATGCATATTCCAGCAGAGCTTTTTCTTCTCCTCCTCATCTATTTTTGATGGAGGTGCGCGCTTTCGACGACTACTCATTTTGTCGTTTTCTCAACAGTATTTTCAGTCTCTGCGAGATGAAGTAAATTAGTCAGGAATAAGTATTACAAAAATCAAATGCCACCACTGAAATTTCACTGTGCAGTAGCTGCTATACTTGCAAAAGATTTGGACACAGGCATATGCACTAAGAAATCTAACTGTTCAAAAGATACTTAGTTTTACAGAGCCTCTCCTGTCCCCGTGCCATCGCACAAGGCTGGACATGAAGCATTTGCCTGGTACTTTATGTTATCATTTTGCCAGACAGCTACATAAATAGAGATCAACAAGAACACTACATTTCACAGCTGTTACTCAGAATCTTGTGGGACGAGATATAAAACAAGAGACAGTAGAATCCCTCAAAGGCAGGGGTGGAGGGAGACGGCAAAAGAAGCTCCACAAACAAAAGTGCAGGAGGTACAGGAGATTTGGGGGTGGGGGTGGGGAAAATACGCATACCAAATTCTTCCTTCCTTTCAAAGCCTATACTGAGCTGAAACTTTAAGCAAACTTGACACAGGGCTAGTCTAAAGCTGCCCATAAGGTATGGGTCAGAGCCTAAGCTATCAAGTTCTGTCCTCAGAAGTCCCTAATGGCCTTCCTACTAGTATTGAATACATTTTTTTTCCCAGGAAACTGCATATCCTGGGACCTGGATATACAAATTGCTTGTAGAGGAGCCCTTACTTAATTATATTGTGCATTTCAGTGGGACCAATCAGCAAACTAAATGCATAATCTTACTGATGTTGACTAATTGCAAAGCTAAGCCAAGATACACGTCTAACTCCTTGACTGAACCCCAACAGTGAACAGATTTTGTGGATAAAATACTAGAAAATAAAGTACACACGTCCTAAAGTGCTAAAAAACACACATGAAGAAGCAGATTATGGAATATTAGACCCATCTGGGAAACTAGTAACAACATACTCAAAACTACATGCTCATACTTAAATACTCAAACAAATAGCAACTTTTTTTTTTTAAAGTAGTGTTTTTATAAGGAGCCTGAACACAGCAATAGATTTATGACCTCATATCACAGCACTGTCTTTGTCAGCAAAGACAGGAAAATATTTAGATATCTGTGCCAATTCAGCTTCTGCACACAACTTTTAAAGAACTGTAGAAAAATGAGAGGCAAATATTCTAAGCTACCAAATCCGGTGTCCCACATCCTAACGTTAAAGGGGTTTACGATGGAACAGGGCAGAATTCTGAACAGTTTTAAGAGAGTCTTGTGAAAAAAAACCAACCCCTAAATTTTATAATTCACAGAAGTCAAAGGAAACATTCAGAAATATGTAAGTCTTGCTGTGTTTGAATTTCAAACACAAGAGAATAAAGGAAATGTGAGTTTTTCAAAGTAATACAGTGCGCTGCGGCTCACAGTAAACTAAGCAAACCCCCATGGCGAGCAGACATATCATAACATTGCACTTAAACCAGGGAACGGATTCCTGCATCACCAGGTCTGCGTGCGCACGCCAACTTCAGCATCGCACTTGAGCGCATAAACTATAGAGAGCCGCTCTGTCTTGAGCAGATCTGTTTAAACCTGCTGTGGCCAGGAGACGACCTGCGAGGAACGAACCTGCAAACAGAGGCACCTGAGCAACCTGTGGCGGTCCGGAGAGGC